GGTGGTGGTGGTGCGCGGTGGTCTGTGTGTGTGTGTGTGTGGGGGGGAGTGGTGGCGCTGCGGTTAGCACCACCCCGCCGCACTACGGGAGAGCCGGCCCGAGTTCGATTCCGGCTCGGGGCCACCACCAACACCGCCGACGAGCGGCGACGATTCTCTGTACCGGTTCCGAGGCGTCCCCTAGGTCGACTCGGCCTCAAACGAGTACCCGCTTGCGGTGTGCAGTAAACATCGCTGCGAGGGAGACAAAGGCGGCCGGGCGTGGCGCTGGCCCACCCCAGCCGGACGTCACAGGCGCTGCTGCCCGCTACTTGTTAAGAGGCTACGCGGGGGATCTTTGTCTTTGGTGTGTGTCGGGCTGTGGTGTTGGTGGCGGTGGGGGGGGCGCCGGCCCCCCGTGGCTTAAAAGGCGGGGGGCCCTCTTTGTGATCGGTGCGGTCGAGGGGTGACCCATTCCTCACGTCGGTTGGCTCATCTCCTTGGGGTTCCAACTTGGGGGGGTTCGTAGCACCCCCATACCACCCCGTACAACCCCCGGTACCCCCTATACCTCCCCGTACCACTCCAGGTACCCCCTATACCACCCCGTACCACTCCCGGTACCCCCTATACCTCCCCGTACCACTCCAGGTACCCCCTATACCACCCCGTAACACCCCCGGTACCCCCTATACCACCCCGTAACACCCCCGGTACCCCCTATACCACCCCGTACCACCACCGGTACCCCCTATACCTCCCCGTACCACTCCCGGTACCCCCCTATACCACCCCGTACCACTCCCGGTACCCCCCTATACCTCCCCGTACCACTCCCGGTACCCCCCTATACCACCCCGTACCACCCCCGGTACCTCCCCGTACCACCCCCGGTACCACCCCCCCCCGCCCCCCGGCCGGCCGTCTCGAGGGGCCCGTGCCCCCCCCCCCCCCCCGCGGCGATGTGCGAGCGCGCGAGGCAGCGCGGGGTGCGCGTCCCCGCCGCTGCCGTGTGCCTCCCGTCGGCGCTGCGTGGCCGCGGCAAGGTGCTGCGGATCTGCCGCGAGCTCGTCTCCTGCTCCTCCGCCAGGGCCCAGCGGGGCCACCGTCACTCCTCCTGCTCCTCCTCCGGCAGCTGCGGAGCTGACGGCGGCGGTGGTGGTGGTGGCGGTGAGACTCTCAACATCATCCCCCACCCAGGATTCCTCCCCCACTCACCCACCGCAGCTGAGATGCTGACCCCTGACCTTTTCCCCCAGCGTGCGTACGTGTGTGTATGTGTGTGCACGTGCGTGCGTGTGTGTGTACGCACGTTCGTACGAGTGTGTGTACGTACGTGTGTGTACGTACGTGTGTGTACGTACGTGTGTGTACGTACAGGCGTGTACGTACGTGTGTGTACGTACAGGCGTGCACGTACGTGCGTGCGCGTGCACGTACGTGCGTGCGCGTGCACGTAGCGGGGATTGGTATTGGTTGAATTTCTGCTTTTGGCACCGCCGTGCGTGGGCCAAAGCGTGGCAAGTCGGAGGGGAAGAACGACAGGCCAGCAGCTCTACACTCCTACTACTACTACAGCAGCAGTAGTGTAGTGGTGTGTAGTGTGGTGTGTAGTAGTCTAGTGTAGTGTGTAGTGGTGTGTATTAGAGTGTGTAGTAGTGTGTAGTAGTAGTGTAGTGGTGTGTAGTAGTGTGTAGTAGTCTAGTGTGTAGTGTAGTGTGTAGTAGTGGTGTGTATTAGAGTGTGTAGTAGTGTAGTGGTGTGTATTAGAGTGTGTAGTAGTGTAGTGGTGTGTATTAGAGTGTGTAGTGGTGTGTATTAGAGTGTAGTAGTAGAGTAGTGTGTAGTAGTGTGTAGTGTGTAGTAGTAGTGTAGTGTGTAGTAGTGTGTAGTAGTAGTGTAGTGTGTAGTAGTAGTGTAGTGTGTAGTAGTCTAGTGTGTAGTAGTGTGTAGTAGTAGAGTAGTGTGTAGTAGTGTGTAGTAGTGTGTAGTAGTGTGTAGTAGTGTGTAGTAGAGTGTAGTGTAGTGTAGTAGAGTGTAGTAGTGTGTAGTAGTGTAGTGGTGTGTATTAGAGTGTGTAGTAGTGTGTAGTAGTGGTGTGTATTAGAGTGTGTAGTAGTGTAGTAGTGGTGTGTATTAGAGTGTGTAGTAGTGTAGTGGTGTGTATTAGAGTGTAGTAGTAGAGTAGTGTGTAGTAGTGTGTAGTAGTGTAGTGTGTAGTCTAGTGTGTAGTAGTGTAGTGTGTAGTAGTCTAGTGTGTAGTAGTGTGTAGTAGTAGTGTAGTGTGTAGTAGTGTGTAGTAGTAGTGTAGTGTGTAGTAGTCTAGTGTGTAGTAGTAGAGTGTAGTAGTGTGTAGTAGTCTAGTGTGTAGTAGTGTGTAGTAGTGTAGTGTGTAGTAGTCTAGTGTGTAGTAGTCTGTAGTAGTGTGTAGTAGTCTAGTGTGTAGTAGTGTGTAGTAGTAGTGTAGTGTGTAGTAGTCTAGTGTGTAGTAGTGTGTAGTAGTGTGTAGTAGTGTGTAGTAGAGTAGTGTGTAGTAGTCTAGTGTGTAGTAGTCTAGTGTGTAGTAGTGTGTAGTAGTGTAGTGTGTAGTAGTGTGTAGTAGTCTAGTGTGTAGTAGTCTAGTGTGTAGTGTAGTGTGTAGTAGTCTAGTGTGCAGTAGTGTGTAGTAGAGTGTAGTAGTGTGTAGTAGATTGTAGTAGTGTAGTGTGTAGTAGTGTGTAGTAGTGTAGTGTGAAGTAGTGTAGTGTAGCGTGTAGTGTATAATGTGTAGTAGTGTGTAGTAGTGTAGTGTATAGCGTATAGTGTAGTGTGTAGTAGTGTAGTGTATAGTGTAGTGTGTAGTAGTGTAGTGTATAGTGTAGTGTATAGCGTATAGTGTAGTGTGTAGTAGTGTAGTGTATAGTGTAGTGTGTAGTAGTGTAGTGTATTGTGTAGTGTGTAATGTATAGTGTAGTGTGTAGTAGTGTAGTGTAGTGTGAAGTAGTGTAGTGTAGCGTGTAGTGTATAGTGTAGTGTAGTGTGAAGTAGAGTAGTGTGTAGTAGCGTAGTGTGCGAGCGAGTGCGCGCGACGATGCCGTAACCACCGTCTTTGTTTCGATGGATTACCAGCACCCCCCACTCATCTTCCTCCACCCCCTCTCCCCCTGCCACCGAACCGGACACCACGGCCATTGTGGACCGGCCGGTGAGGATGATGGCGGGGGTGGCGGGGGGGGGGGGGGGGGTCACGTGGTGGTGGTGGTGGAGGGCGTGGTGCTGGAGACCCCCCCCCCCCCCTCGTGTGCCACAGTGCAAGTCCTTCATAGGTGCTCGCTAACAGCACTTGCCCCTGCAGTCTGTAACAGGCTACGCGGGGGATCTTTGACTTTGGTGTGACGAGATGTGTCGTGCCCGTGGGATCAGTGGTGGGATCAGTGCAGAGGTGAAGATCATTGCAGAGGTGGGATCAGTGCAGAGGTGGGATCAGTGGTGGGATCATTGCAGAGGTGAAGATCATTGCAGAGATGGGATCAGTGCAGAGGTGGGATCAGTGGTGGGATCAGTGCAGGATACGAAGATCAATGCAGAGATGGGAGCAGTGGTGGGATCAATGCTGATATGGGGATCAATGCAGAGATGGGATCAATGCAGAGGTGGGATCAGTGCAGAGATGGGATCAGTGGTGGGATCAGTGCAGAGGTGAAGATCATTGCAGAGATGGGATCAATGCAGAGGTGGGATCAGTGGTGGGATCAATGCTGATATGGGGATCAATGCAGAGATGGTGATCAATGCAGAGGTGGGATCAGTGGTGGGATCAATGCAGGTACGAAGATCAATGCAGATATTGTGATCAATGCAGAGGTGGGATCAGTGATGGGATCAATGCTGATATGGGGATCAATGCAGATATGGGGATCAGTGCAGATATGAAGATAACTGCAGAGATGGGATCAATGCAGAGGTGGGATCAGTGATGGGATCAATGCTGATATGGGGATCAGTGCAGATATGGGGATCAATGCAGAGGTGGGATCAATACAGAGGTGGGATCAGTGCAGGTAAGGCCGCTCTTTATCAGAAGCAACCTGGTCACAAATGACAGCGCAACCAAGGGGCTCATCGTCATCGTCGTCGTCGTCATCGTCGTCGTCGTCATCGTCATCATCGTCATCGTCGTCGTCGTCATCATCGTCTTCATCGTCGTCGTCGTCATTGTCGTCATCATCGTCGTCGTCGTCATCGTCATCGTCGTCATCGTCGTCGTCATCATCGTCATCATCATCGTCGTCGTCGTCGTCATCATCGGCGTCATCGTTGTCGTCGTTATCATCATCGTCATCGTCGTCGTCATCGTCGTCGTCACCGTGATGCGGAAACGCCATAGCAGCAGCCAAATGCTCTTTGGTTCTTTGGGGTAAAGTCACGTGGGTAGAAATGAAATAAAATACCCACGTGGTGACTTGACACGAAAGAACCAAGGAGTGATGGATTCCCTGCAGTCACGAGAGCTTCAAGTCAAGCAGCCCAAATACTTTGAGCTTGCGTGGCGACGTCGATTCTCAATGTGGAGGGTAAACTCCCGGAGAGAAATCCACGCGACCACGGGGAGAGAGAGAGAGAGAGAGGCACAGATTCCACAAATATACAGCAGCAGCAGCAGGCGTCGTCAGGGTCGGGATCGAACCCACGACCTCCTGTATACCAGGCGAGGTAGTCAACATCTCCTAGCCACCGTGATGATGAGAGAGAGAGACGCAAACTCCAAATATACAGCAGCAGCAGGCGTCGTCAGGGTCGGGATGGAACCCACGACCTCCTGCACACCAGGCGAGGTCGTTAACATCTCATACCCACCGTGATGATGATGAGAGAGGCACAGACTCCACAAATCTACAGCAGCAGTAGCAGGCATCGTCAGGGTCGGGATCGAACCCACGACCTTCTGTAGACCAGGCGAGGCAGTCAACATCTCCTAGCCACCGTGATGATGATGAGAGAGAGAGATCCACAGACTCCAAATCTACAGCAGCAGCAGCAGGCGTCGTGAGGGTCGGGATCGAACCCACGACCTCCTGCACACCAGGCGAGGTCGTTAACATCTCCTAGCCACTGGCGGCGCCACCTGTGTGAACGTCGCTGTCCGTGTGTGTGCGTGTGTGTGCGCGTGCGTGCGTGCGTGTGCGTGTGTGCGTGCGTGCGTCAGACTCGCTTCACCGGCCGCTGGTGGGGGTGGCGTCGGGCACGGCGATGCTGGCCGGGAGCTGCGGCGGCGGCGGCGCCGGCGGCGGCGGCGGCGGAGTCGGAGGAGGGGCGGACGGCGCCCTGCGCGACGTGGCACGCTGGAACTCGAAGGAGTCGCTGCTGTCGGGCGCCGAGGACGGCAGCGACGAGGCGAACCTCTTCGTGGCGCTCTACGACTTCGTGGCGAGCGGAGACAACACGCTGAGCATCACCAAGGGTCGCTCGCTCGCTCTCTCCCTCGCTCGCTCGCTCACTCAGTCACGCTCTCTCGCTCAGTCAGTCACTCACTCAGTCACACTCACTCAGTCAGTCACGCTCGCTCACTCAGTCACACTCACTCAGTCACACTCACTCAGTCACGCTCATTCACTCACTCAGTTACGCTCACTCACTCAGTCACGCTCACTCACTCACTCTCTCGCTCACTCAGTCACGCTCTCGCTCACTTACTCAGTCAGTCACGCTCACTCACTCAGTCACGCTCTCTCACTCACTCAGTCACGCTCACTCACTCACTCAGTCACGCTCACTCACTCACTCAGTCACGCTCACTCACTCACTCAGTCACGCTCGCTCACTCAGTCGGTCAGTCACACTCACTCAGTCACGCTCACTCACTCACTCAGTCTCACTCACTCACTCAGTCACGCTCATTCACTCACTCAGTTACGCTCACTCACTCAGTCACGCTCACTCACTCACTCTCTCGCTCACTCAGTCACGCTCTGGCTCACTCACTCAGTCAGTCACGCTCACTCACTCAGTCAGTCACGCTCACTCACTCAGTCACGCTCACTCAGTCACGCTCACTCACTCACTCTCTCGCTCACTCAGTCACGCTCTCGCTCACTCACTCAGTCAGTCACGCTCACTCACTCAGTCAGTCACGCTCACTCACTCAGTCACGCTCACTCACTCAGTCACGCTCACTCACTCACTCTCTCGCTCACTCAGTCACGCTCTCGCTCACTCACTCAGTCAGTCACGCTCACTCACTCAGTCAGTCACGCTCACTCACTCAGTCACGCTCACTCACTCAGTTACGCTCACTCATTCACTCAGTCACGCTCTCACTCTCTCGCTCACTCACTCAGTCTCACTCACTCACTCAGTCACGCTCACTCACTCAGTCACGCTCTCTCTCTCATGCTCCACTCCTCGCTCTCTCTTGCTCACTCACTCACTCAATCTCACTCACTCAGTCACGCTTACTCACTCAGTCACGCACTCGCTAACTCTCTCGCTCACTCACTCACTCTTTCACTCTCTCTCACTCTCTCACTCTCTCTCACTTTCTCTCACTCTCATTCTCCCTCTCACACTCTCTCACGCTCTCACTCACACTCTCTCAATCTCTCAATCTCTCTCACTCTCACACTCACACTCTCACTCTCTCACACTAACTCTCTCACTCTCACTCTCTCACTCTCTCACTCTCACACTCTCACATTCTCACACTCTCTCACTCTCACTCTCACACCCTCTCACTCTCTCACTCACTCTCACTCTCTCACACTCTCACACTCACTCTCTCACACTCTCTCAATCTCTCTCACTCTTTCACACTCTCTCACTCTCATTCTCCCTCTCACACTCTCTCACTCTCTCACTCTCTCACTCACACTCTCTCAATCTCTCAATCTCTCTGACTCTCTCACTCTCTCACTCACACTCTCACACTCTCACTCTCTCACACTCACTCTCTCACTCTCACCCTCTCACTCTCTCACTCTCACACTCACACTCTCACTCCCTCTCACTCTCTCACTCTCTCACTCTCACACTCTCACACTCTCACTCTCACACTCTCACACTCTCTCACTCTCTCACTCACTCTCACTCTCTCACTCTCTCACACTCACTCTCTCACACTCTTTCACTCTCTCACACTCTCACACTCTCACTCTCTCACTCTCACACTCACTCTCTCACTCACACACTCACTCACTCACTCTCTCACTCTCACACTCTCACTCACACTCTCACACTCTCTCTCACTCTCTCGCTCTCTCACGCTCTCACACTCCTACTCTCACACTCTCTCACTCTCACACTCTCTCACTCACACACTCACTCTCTCAATCTCTCACTCTCTCACTCACTCTCTCACTCTCTCTCTCGTCCCCTCCGCTACCCCCGCCACCACCACCACCACCACCGCAGGCGAGAAGCTGCGAGTGCTGGGCTACAACCACAACGGCGAGTGGAGCGAGGTGCAGTCCCGCAACGGCCAGGGATGGGTGCCCAGCAACTACATCTCGCCGGTGAACAGCCTGGAGAAGCACTCGTGGTACCACGGCCCCGTGTCGCGCAACGCCGCCGAGTACCTGCTCAGCAGCGGCATCAACGGCTCCTTCCTGGTGCGCGAGTCGGAGAGCAGCCCGGGGCAGCTGTCCATCTCGCTGCGCTGCGAGGGGCGCGTCTACCACTACCGCATCAACACGGCCAGCGACGGCAAGGTGTGAGGTCGCCGCTAGCGCCGTTACCACTACCGCCATCACCACTACCGCCATTACCACTACCGTTACCACTACCGCCATTACCACTACCGCATCAACACGGCCAGCGACGGCAAGGTGTGAGGTCGCCGCTAGCGCCGTTACCACTACCGCCATTACCACTACCGCATCAACACGGCCAGCGACGGCAAGGTGTGAGGTCGCCGCTAGCGCCGTTACCACTACCGCCATTACCACTACCGCATCAACACGGCGAGCGACGGCAAGGTGTGAGGTCGCCGCTAGCGCCGTTACCACTACCGCCATTACCACTACCGCATCAACACGGCCAGCGACGGCAAGGTGTGAGGTCGCCGCTAGCGCCGTTACCACTACCGCCATTACCACTACCGCATCAACACGGCGAGCGACGGCAAGGTGTGAGGTCGCCGCTAGCGCCGTTACCACTACCGCCATTACCACTACCGCATCAACACGGCCAGCGACGGCAAGGTGTGAGGTCGCCGCTAGCGCCGTTACCACTACCGCCATCACTGCCGTTACCACTACCCACGTTACCACTACCGCATCAACACGGCGAGCGACGGCAAGGTGTGAGGTCGCCGCTAGCGCCGTTACCACTACCGCCATTACCACTACCGCATCAACACGGCCAGCGACGGCAAGGTGTGAGGTCGCCGCTAGCGCCGTTACCACTACCGCCATTACCACTACCGCCATCACTGCCGTTACCACTACCGCCATTACCACTACCGCATCAACACGGCGAGCGACGGCAAGGTGTGAGGTCGCCGCTAGCGCCGTTACCACTACCGCCATTACCACTACCGCCATCACTGCCGTTACCACTACCGCCATTACCACTACCGCCATTACCACTACCGCCATTACCACTACCGCCATTACCACTACCGTCGCCACTACCGCCATTACCACTACCGCCATTACCACTACCGTCGCCACTACCGCCACTACCACTACCGCCATTACCACTACCGCATCACCACGGCCAGCGACGGCAAGGTGAGGTTGCCGCTGGGGCCACCACCACTACCACCACCCCCCCCCTACCCCCACCACTCGGGGTGGTGGTCGCTGGGCCACACACCGCTCCCTCTTGCTTCTTGAGGCTTCCTCGCGGCGCTGCCTTTACCTTCTCCCGCCCACGTGCCCCCCCCCATCCCCCCCCCCCCCCCCCCCCCACGTGCGCCCCCCCGCCCGCAGGTGTACGTGACTTCGGACAGCCGCTTCAGCACGCTGGCCGAGCTGGTGCACCACCACTCGAGCGTGGCGGACGGCCTGATCACGACGCTGCACTACCCGGCGCCCAAGCTGACCAAGCCGACGGTGTACGGCGTGTCGCCCATCTACGACAAGTGGGAGATGGAGCGCACCGACATCACCATGAAGCACAAGCTGGGCGGCGGGCAGTACGGGGAGGTGTACGAGGGCGTGTGGCGCAAGTACAGCCTCACCGTCGCCGTCAAGACGCTCAAGGTGCGGGTGGGGGGGGGGGATGGTGTAGCGGGCACACCGCTCGCTCGCTCAACCGCTCGCTCGCTCGGCCGTACGCTCGGCCACGCGCTCGCCCGTACGCTCGCTCGCTCGCTCGACCGTACACTCAACCACGCGCTCGCCCGTACGCTCACTTGCTCACTCAACTGTACACTCAACCACGCGCTCGCCCGTACGCTCGCTCGCTCGACCGTATGCTCGGCCACACACGCTCGCTCGACCGCTCGAGCTTACACTCGACCACTCGCTCATCCGTACACTCCACCGCCTCACTCCGCGCCGCACGCTCGCTTGCTCGCTCGCACACTCGACCGGGCACTCGTCCACGTGCTTGCCCGCACGCTCACTCACTCAACCGGACACGCGTCCACGTGCTCGCCAGCATGCTCACTCACTCAACCGGACACTCGTCCACATGCTCACCCGCACGCTCATTCACTCGACCGGACACTCGTCCACATACTCACCCGCACGCTCATTCACTCGACTGGACACTCGTCCACATGCTCACCCGCACGCTCACTCACTCAACCGGACACTCGTCCACATGCTCACCCACACGCTCACTCACTCGACCGGACACTCGTCCACATGCTCACCCGCACGCTCACTCACTCAACCGGACACTCGTCCACATGCTCACCCACACGCTCACTCACTCGACCGGACACTCGTCCACATGCTCACCCGCACGCTCACTCTCTCGGTGTGTGTGTGTGTGTCACTGCGCGTGTGTCGCTGTGTGTGTGTCACGGTGCTCCAGGAGGACACGATGGAGGTGGAGGAGTTCCTGAAGGAGGCGGCCGTCATGAAGGAGATCAAACACCCAAACCTGGTGCAGCTCCTGGGTTAGCGCTCACCCAGCCCCTCACCCACCACCTCACCCACCCACCCACCTAGCCCCTCACCCACTCACCCACCACCTCACCCACCCACCACCTCACCCACCCACCCAGCCCCTCACCCACCCGGCCTCTCACCCACCCACCCTCTCATCCACCCACCCACCCACCCCCCCCACACCCACCCACCCCCCCCACACCCACCCACCCCTTACCCCCCCACGCACCCACCCACCCACTCACCCACCCACCACCTCAACCACCCACCCAGCCCCTCACCCACCCACCCACCACCTCACCCACCCCCCCCTCACACCCACACACCCCTTACCCTCCCCCACCCACCCACCCCCACCCACCCCCCCCCACCCACCCACCCCACCCACGCGCGTGCATTGCGCGTGACACACACACACACGCACACGTGTGTGTCCGTCGTGCGTGCCGGGCGTCCGCCGCCGGTGTCCGTGACGCGGGTTGCGTGTGTGTGTGTGCGTGTGTGTGTGTGTGCGTGTGTGTGTGTGTGCGTGTGTGTGTGTGTGCGTGTGTGTGTGTGTGCGTGTGTGTGTGTGCGTGCGTGCGTGTGTGTGTGTGTGTGCGTGTGTGCGTGCGTGCGTGCGTGCGTGTGTGTGTGCGTGCGTGCGTGTGTGTGTGTGTGCGTGTGTGTGTGCGTGTGTGTGTGCATGTGTGTGTGTGTGTGTGCGTGTGTGTGTGCGTGCGTCACGTCACAGGCGTGTGCACGAGGGAGCCGCCCTTCTACATCGTCACGGAGTTCATGCCGCGCGGCAACCTGCTGGACTTCCTGCGCGAGTGCAGCCGCGCGGAGGTGACGGCCGTGGTGCTCCTCTACATGGCCACGCAGATCTCCTCCGCCATGGAGTACCTGGAGCGCAAGAACTTCATCCACCGGTCAGACGCGACCCCCGCCCCACCCCCACCCTGACTACCGCCCCCCCCCACCCTGACTACCCGCCCCCCCCTGACTACCGCCCCCCCCTGACTACCGCCCCCCCCTGACTACCGCCCCCCCCACCCTGACTACCGCCCCCCCCCCTGACTACCGCCCCCCCCCCCCTGACTACCGCCCCCCCACCCCCCTGACTACCCGCCCCCCCCTGACTACCCGCCTGAGTAATCCACAGAAGGCGGGGTTAGCTCTATTGGGATTGGTCAATAAACCGACCAATCCGGTTGCACGGCAACGGGGACAGTCGCGAGTTCATCTCCTGGTCATCACCGCCACCGCTACCACCACCGCCACCACAGGCACCACCATTCCCACGATCACCACCACCGCCGCCGCCACCTCCACCACCGCCACCACCACCACCACCACCACCGCTACCACCACGATCACCACCACGATCACCACCGCCGCCGCCGCCACCACCAGCGGCTGGACTAACCGCTGCCGCGCGCCATCCCCAAGGGACCTGGCGGCACGGAACTGCCTGGTGAGCGAGAACCACGTGGTGAAGGTGGCGGATTTTGGGCTGAGCCGGCTGATGACGGGCGACACGTACACGGCACGTGCCGGAGCCAAGTTCCCCATCAAGTGGACGGCGCCCGAGAGCCTCGCCTACAACAAGTTCTCCATCAAGTCCGACGTGTGGGGTGGGACGGAAAGCCGCGCTCGCTCGCATGCTCGCACGCTCTCACTCACACACTCTCACACACACTCACACACTCACTCACTCGCCCTCACACACACACTCACACACACACACTCACTCACACACTCACACTCGCTCTCACACACACACTAACTCACACACTCACACACTCACACACACTCACAAACACTCGCTCTCACTCGCCCTCACACACACACTCACACACACTCACTCGCTCTCACTCACTCTCACTCACACACTCACTCACACACACACTCACTCACACACTCACACACTCACACTCGCTCTCACTCACTCTCACTCACACACTCACACACACACTCACACACACACTCACATACTCACACTCTCACTCACACACTCACTCACACACACACTCACTCACACACTAACTCACACGCTCGCTCGCTCGCACGCTCTCACACACACACGCTCTCACTCACACACTCACACTCACTCACTCACACACACTCGCTCTCACACACACTCACACACTCGCACTCACTCACACACACTCGCTCTCACACACACTCACACACTCGCTCTCACTCGCTCTCACTCACACACACACTCACTCGCACACTCACTCTCACTCACACACACACTCACACAAACACTCACTCACACACTCACTCTCACTCACACACTCACACACACACTCACACACACACTCACTCACACACTCGCTCTCACTCACACACACAAAGACAAAGACAAAGATCCCCCGTATAGCCTTAACAGACTGTAGGGGCAAGTGCTGTTAGCGAGCACCTATGAAGGCCGGAACGGTACACGAGGGGGTGGGTGGCCAGCACCACGCCCGACCGCCTTTGTCTCCCTAGTGGCAATGTTTACACACCGCACCAGGTACTCATTCGAGGCTGAGTCGACCTAGGGGAGGCCCGGGACCGGTTCAGATAATCGTCACTGGTGTTGGCCGTGAGCGGGAATCGAACCCGGGTCGCCAGGTTCATAGCGCAGCGCGCTAACCGCTACACTATCGCTCCCCACACACACTCACTCACACACTCACACTCACCCGCTCTCACTCACACACACACTCGCTCTCACTCACACACTCGCTCTCACTCGCTCTCACACACACACTCACACACACACTCACTCTCTCACGCTCGCTCTCACTCACACACACACTCACTCACACACTCGCTCTCACTCACCCACACTCACTCACACACTAACTCACACACGCTCACACACACACTCACTCACTCACTTGCACACTCGCTCTCACTCACACACACACACTCACATACTCACACACACACTCACACTCTCACGCTTGCTCTCACTCACACATACTCGCTCTCACTCACTCACACACTTGCTCACTCACTCACTCGCTCTCACACTCGCTCTCACTCACTCACGCTCGCTCGCTCTCACTCACTCACACACTCGCTCTCACGCTCACTCACTTACGTTCACTCTCACTCACTCACACACTCGCTCTCTCGCTCGCTCTCACTCACTCACGCTCGCTCTCACTCACACTCGCTCACTCGCTCTCACGCTCACTCTCACTCACTCACGCTCGCTCTCACTCACGCTCGCTCTCACTCACTCACACACTCTCGCTCGCTCTCACTCACTCACACTCACTCTCACTCACGCTCGCTCACTCACTCTCACTCTCGCTCGCTGTCACACTCACCCCCCCCTCGCTCACTCATGCTCACTCACACTCGCCCCACTCACTCGCTCACACTCATCCTGCTCTCTCACTCACCCCCCCACTCTCACTCACACTCACCCCCCCTCATAACCGCCCCGGCGTACGTAGCTTAACCGCGATAACCGCCCCTGCGTACGTAGCTTAACCGTGATAACCGCCCTGGTGTACGTAGCTTAACCGTGATAACCGCCCCTGGTGTACGTAGCTTAACCGCGATAACCGCCCCAGCATACGTAGCTTAACCGCGATAACCGCCCTGGTGAACGTAGCTTAACCGCGATAACCGCCCCAGCATACGTAGCTTAACCGCGATAACCGTCCCGGTGAACGTAGCTTAACCACGATAACCGCCCTGGTGTACGTAGCTTAACCGCGATAACCGCCCCTGCGTACGTAGCTTAACCGCGATAACCGCCCCGGTGAATGTAGCTTAACCGCGATAACCGCCCCAGCGTAGGTAGCTTAACCCCGATAACCGCCCTGCTGTACGTAGCTTAACCGCGATAACCGCCCTGGTGTACGTAGCTTAACCCCGATAACCGCCCTGGCATACGTAGCTTAACCGCGATAACCGCCCCTGCGTACGTAGCTTAACCGCGATAACCGCCCCGGTGAATGTAGCTTAACCGCGATAACCGCTCCAGCGTACGTAGCTTAACCCCGATAACCGCCCTGCTGTACGTAGCTTAACCGCGATAACCGCCCTGGTGTACGTAGCTTAACCCCGATAACCGCCCTGGCATACGTAGCTTAACCGCGATAACCGCCCCGGCGTACGTAGCTTAACCGCAATAACCGCCCCGGCGTACGTAGCTTAACCGCGATAACCGCTCCGGCGTACGTAGCTTAACCGTGATAACCGCCCCGCCGTACGTAGCTTAACCGTGATAACCACCCCGGCGTACGTAGCTTAACCACGATAACCGCCCCTGCGTACGTAGCTTAACCCCGATAACCGCCCTGCTGTACGTAGCTTAACCGCGATAACCGCCCCGGTGAACGTAGCTTAACCGCGCTGACCCCTGTTGCGTGCGTGTCCCGGGCGCAGCGTTCGGTGTGCTGCTGTGGGAGATCGCCACGTACGGACTGTCGCCCTACCCGGGCATCGACCTCTCGCAGGTCTACGAGCGCCTGGAGAAGGGATACCGCATGGACCGCCCCAAGGGCTGCCCGCACCCCGTCTACCAGCTCATGCGCTCCTGTGGGTGACCACGCTGACACGCACCGCATACACCGCATACACGCACCGCACGCACCACGTACACGCACCGCACGCACCACGTACACGCACCACGTACACGCACCGCACACACCACATACACGCACCGCACCGCACGCACCACGTACACGCACCGCACACACCACATACACGCACCGCACGCACGCACCGCACGTATCGCACGCACCGCACACGCACCGCGTGGACACACCGCACCGCACACACCGGACGCACCGCTTGCACCGCACGCACCACACACACCACACAACACACATACACGCACCACACACCGCACACGCACCGCACACACACCGCATACACCACACACACACCACACACACCACACACACACACACACCGCACACACACACACACCACGCACACATACACCGTACACACACACACCACGCACACACACACACATGCACTGCACACACACCGCACACACACACCGCACACACACACACACCGCACACACATACACCGCACACACACACATGCACCACACACACACACCGCACACACACACCGCACACACACCACACATACACCGCACACACCACACACGCACCGCACACACACCGCATACACCACACACACACCGTGCACACACCCCACACACACTTCACACCCCCACACACACACCGTACAGACGGCACGCACACACCACACACACTTCACACACCACACACACACACACCGCACACACATACACCGCATACTCCACACACACACACACACCACATACACCACACACACACACCACAAACACACACACAACGCTCGCACTCACTCCCGCCACCAGATAGGCAGGGCCTGCAACTAAAACTAAACGCTGCTGCTGCTGCTGCTCAATAGAGTAGTTTTAAAAGTGTCTGTGGATTAGCTCTGGTCTGGTATGTCTGTTATGCACAGTACGTACAACTTCTTTCGCGCCGTACGTAGCCGAACGTACTGATTGGAGGTGGTAAACGAAGAATAAGCAATGTTTATTTTGGCAGGTAAGACCCCATTGAGTTGTCTGGCCAAATGATAGCACAACGAAGTGGCTTGTCATCATCATCATCACCATCATCATCATCACGCCAACATTTATAGCAGGAAAATACTCTAAAACGTGTGTTTCTACAGACTCATAGACACCCATAGACCCAAAGAGACCCACAGAGACCCATACTCATAGAGACCGAAAGAGACCCACAGAGACCCATACTCATAGAGACCCACAGAGTCCCATACTCATAGAGACCCACAGAATCCCAGACTCGGAGACCCATAGAGACCAACAGAGACCCATAGAGACCCACAGAGTCCCATACTCATGGAGACTCACAGAGTCCCATACTCATAGAGACCCACAGAGTCCCATACTCAGAGAGACCCACAGAGACTCATACTCATAGAGACCCATACTCATAGAGACCCATAGAGACGCACAGAGACCCACAGAGACCCATACTCAGAGAGACCCACAGAGACCCATACTCATAGAGACCCATACTCATAGAGACCCATAGAGATGCACAGAGACCCACAGAGACCCATACTCATAGAGACCCACAGAGACCCATACTCATAGAGACCCACAGAGACCCATACTCATGGAGACCCACAGAGACCCATACTCATAGAGACTCACAGAGACTCATACTCATAGAGACCCACAGAGTCCCATACTCATAGAGACACACAGAGACCCATACTCATAGAGACCCACAGAGACCCATACTCACGGAGACCCACAGTGTCCCATACTCATAGAGACCCACAGAGACCCATACTCATAGAGACCCACAGAGACCCATACTCATAGAGACCCACAGAGACCCATACTCATGGAGACCCAGAGACCCATACTCATAGAGACCCACATAGACTCATACTCATAGAGACCCACAGAGACCCATACTCATAGAGACCCATAGAGACCCACAGAGTCCCAGACTCGGAGACCCATAGAGACCCACAGAGTCCCAGACTCAGAGACCCATAGAGACCCACAGAGACCCACAGAGACCCATACTCATGGAGACTCACAGAGTCCCATACTCAGAGAGACCCATACTCATAGAGACCCATAGAGACGCACAGAGACCCATAGAGACCCACAGAGACCCATACTCATAGAGACCCACAGAGTCCCATACTCAGAGAGACCCACAGAGACTCATACTCATAGAGACCCATACTCATAGAGACCCATAGAGACGCACAGAGACCCATAGAGACCCACAGAGTCCCATACTCATGGAGACTCACAGAGTCCCATACTCATAGAGACCCACAGAGTCCCATACTCAGAGAGACCCACAGACACTCATACTCATAGAGACCCACAGAGACCCATACTCATAGAGACCCACAGAGTCCCACACTCACAGAGACCCACAGACACCCATACTCACAGAGACCCACACTAAAACAGACCTTTTTATTTTGCCAGGTAAGGGCTCCACTGAGCTGTGTCGCTTTTTCGCGGAAGCGACGCCCTGGACCATCGCAAATGGCAGCAGCACAAAGAAGTGGCTGAGTGTCGCGATGATCGTCGCGATGATCGTCGCGATGATCGCCGCGATGATCGCCGCGATGATCGCCGCGATGATCGCCGCGATGATCGTCGCGATGATCGTCGCGATGATCGTCGCGATGATCGTCGCGATGATCGCCGTGATGATCGCAACGATGATCGTCGCGACGATTGTCGCGATGATCGTCGCGATGATCATCGCGACGATCGCCGCGACGATCGCCGCGATGATTGCCGCAACGATCACGTGATATTGTATAGTGGCAGCCAAATACTGGAATCCGAAACGCGTGGTGACGCCGATTCTAAATGTGGAGGGCAAAGCCGGAGGAGGACCCGGAGGAAAAAGCCACGGAGAGAGAGAGAGAGACGCAGACTCCAAATCTACAGCAGCAGTAGCAGCAGGCGTCGTCAGGGTCGGGATCGAACCCACGACCTCCTGTAGAACAGGCGAGGTAGTTAACATCTCCTAGCCACCATGATTACGACGATGATGATGAGAGAGAGATACAGACCTCCTGTAGATCAGGCGAGGTAGTCAACATCTCATAGCCACCGTGATGATGATGATGATGAGAGAGAGACACAGACCTCCTGTAGACCAGGCGAGGTAGTCAACATCTCATAGCCACCGTGGTGATGATGATGAGAGAGAGACACAGACCTCCTGTATACCAGGCGAGGTAGTCAACATCTCATAGCCACCGTGATGATGATGAGAGACAGAGACACAGACCTCCTGTAGACCAGGCGAGGTAGTCAACATCTCATAGCCACCATGATGATGATGAGAGAGAGACACAGACCTCCTGTATACCAGGCGAGGTAGTCAACATCTCCTAGACACCACAACGCATGGCCTGGCCCGGGGCTTTGTGGAAAATCCTGAGCACGTGGACGGGGGCAACGGGCTTGGAGCCAGCACGGCTTGAGCACACGGCTCCTCCTGGAGATTCGTGAATAGGGAGCTTTGTAGCTCATCAGATTGATCTCCTGGTGTGAATAAATAAATAAGCAATCCCGATTCTGGTTCTCTCGCCAGAGAGTGGGGAGTGGTGTTGGTGGTTGACTGGGTGTGCGGTGGTGGATTGCTTGGTGATTGTGGCGGTGGACTGTGCGGTTGGTTGACTGCGTGATGGTTGACTTTGCGGGTGGTTGACTGTGTGGGTGGGTGATTGCGTGGTTGATTTTGTAGTGGTTGACTGTGTGGTGGTTGATTTTGTGGGTGGTTGACTGTGTGGGTGGTTGACTGTGTGGTGGACTGTGTGGGTGGTTGACCGTGTGGTGGACTGTGCGGTTGGTTGACTGCGTGATGGTTGACTGTGTGGGTGGTGGACTGTGTGGGTGGTTGACTGTGCAGGTTGGCAGTGGAATCCGCTGGACCGGCCTTCGTTTGCCGAGACTCACCGCGCCTTCGACACCATGTTCCATGACTCCAGCATCTCTGACGGTGACCGCACGTACACACACGTACACACACGTACAGACACGTACACACACGTACACACACGTACACGCACACACACATACACACACATACACACACGTGCACACAAGTACACACACGTGCACACAAGTACACACACGTACATGCACACACACACACACGTACACACGTACAGACACGTACACACACGTACACACACGTACACACACGCACGCACACACACGTACACACACGTACACACACGTACACACACGCACGCATGCACGCACACACACACACACGTACACACACGTACACACACGTACACACACGCACACACACGCACACACACGCACACACACATACACACACGTGCACAGAAGTACACACACGTACACGCACACACACACACGCACACACACACACACACGTACACACGTACAGACACACACACGCACGCGCACACACACACGTACACACGCACACACACACGCACGCACACACACACACGTACACACGCACACACACGCGCACGCACACACGCACGCACACACACACACGTACACACGCGCACACACGCGCACACACGCGCACACACACGTACACACACACACATACACACAAACGTGCAAACACGTACACATGTATACACACACGTACAACAACAACCGCCATTCGCCACTAAGTGGCGGTGACGTCACCACGACGCTTGTGCCAGGCTATGTGCACGTTGAAGCCACGTGAAGTGTCGAACGCCCGCCGGCAGGAGGTCACGGGGCAGAGCCAGGTTCCACGGGTCGACTGACTGAGATGACTGGCTGATGCACCACCTGTGCCCCCTACTGTGCCAACTTGCTGTGCTTTAGCCACCCGGTGCTCCGGTCGTTGTTCTGAGCGTCGCTCCTCCGCCCTCCGTTGTTGCTGGCAGGCGACTGCCTCCAACTGCCCAATAGCGTCCTTCACGAGCCTCCTCCACAGAGGCCGATCTTGACACCGCTGGTACCAGTCATCGGCAAGTCCACTCAGCTCCACGTCCTCCTGTACCACATCACTCCATCTCTTCTCTAGCCGGTGCCGCACCCGTTTAGCCCCCTCTATCCGGCCGAACAAAAGCTGTTTAGGCATGCGGTGGCTGGGCATGCGGGCTACATGACCCAGCCAATGCAGCCTTGCCTGCCGGAGGAGCTCACAGATGGGACCTTGCCCAGATCTTTCAAAGATTTGTGAGCTCCTCACACAATCCAGCCTGGTTAAACCCAGGATGGATCGTAGGCAGGCCAGCCTAAATGTTTCTAACCGGCGAAGATGTTCCATGAGGGAGGTCAACGTTTTGCAAGCGTAGAAAAGGGATCGGCATTACTGTGGCCGAGAAGACCGGAAGCTTCGTATGGAGTGACAGACCAGCTAGCTTCTACACAGCGTTACGCAGACGATAAAAACATGCCGCTCGACTGATTCGGAGTGAGACCTCTGCTGTCAAACCGGAGCCGGTCATGAGCCCACTGCCCAGGTATGGGAAACTCTCCACTATCTCCACAATTGCCCCATCAACAATTGGGAGTAATGGGGGTGGAGTGTCTAACGGTACAAAATACCCAGGCAGGTGCTTAGTTTTGGTGGGGCTGATGGTTAGGCCCCACCTCTTAGTGGCAAGCTCCAGGTTCAGCAGGAGCACCTCCAACTCCTCCTCTTTGTGAACAGCAATCACCAGACCATCAGCATACATAACATGGTTGACCAATAGGGAGCTATCCCTTGACCACACCCGGGCATCAATCAGCCTCCCATTGTATCTGTGCAAGATGGAAATTCCTCCGGTACAGCCATCAAAGGCTTCATGGTCGAAATAGCCAGAGGATATCCCTGTCGCACCCCAAGGTGAACAGGGGATGGCTTCGATTCCCGGCCACGTAATTTTACCCGGGCCTGCTCACCATCATGAAGGTCCTTAATGATTGTGAGCAGAGAGTCAGAGACTCCGAAAGCACGAAGAGGCCGAGCCTGCTAATGGGATCATCGCCCTTGACCAGGTCAATAAAGCAAAGATGTAGGTCCTGTTGGAATTCCCTACACCTCTGCTGTAGCAGACGAACATAAAATATGGCATCTGTGCAGGACCAACCTTTCCTGAAACCACATTGTGGTTCCGCAAGCCTCTCCTCAAAGAGTATGGATCCCTGCAGTCACGAAAACTTGGTAAGGGCCATGTTGAATAATCCTTGCCAGGACTTTTCCCGGCACACTGAGGAGGGAGATGCCCCTGTAGTTGTTACAGTCTGTGCGAGTAGAGGACCAGCCACCCCCTCATGGTGGCAGGAGCTAGAGCCGGTCCACCGGACCTCCTGAATACTGCAGAGATCCAGGCAGTACCGGTCCAGCTCCAGACAGAGGAGTGGCAGCCTCTCATCCGTAGTGAGCGTTCGAACATTCCACGTGGCCATCCGTAGTGGCTTTTTATTGTTTCTGGAGGAGCCCCGAGGGTAAAGATTCAATCTCCTGGCTCCACCAAATGGGGTTTGGCCAGGAGACGTCATAGACGCCTGTACCCCCCGGGGCCTCCGGCACGAGCTTAGTTAGATTTTTAACACGTGGCTTAGTGGTACTTGGATTGAAGGTGGAGGGGTTAACCAGCCCCCCCCCCCGCACCCGTCCAGAGCCCCTCATTGGCTGCCATGGTAACTACAAGAGCCATGAGGGGAAAAGCCGAATGGAGTTGGATTTTCCCCCTCTTGGCAATGCTCGCATCCACCACAGCGTTACCAACCGGCACCACACATACACACACAGCCACACACAACAACAACAACCGCCATTCGCCACTAAGTGGGGGTGACGTCACCACGACGCTTGTGCCAGGCCATGTGCACCTTGAGGCCACGTGAAGTGTCGAACGCCCGCTGGCAGGAGGTCACGGGGCAGACCCAGCCATGGGTCGACTGACTGAGATGACTGAGATGACTGGCTGATGCACCACCTGTGCCCCCTACTGTGCCAACCTGCTGTGCTTTAGCCACCCGGCGCTCTGCTCTTTGTGAGCGTCGCTCCTCCACCCTCAGTTGTTGTTGGAGGGCGACTGCCTCCAACTGCCCAGTAGCATCCTTCATGAGCCTCCTCCACAGAGGCCGATCTTGACACCGCTGGTACCAGTCATCGGCAAGTCCACTCGCTCCACGTCCTCCTGTACCACATCACTCCATCTCTTCTCTAGCCCGTGCCGCGCCCGTTTAACCACCTCGATCCGGCCGAACAAAAGCTGTTTCGGCATGCGGTGGCTGGGCATGCGGGCTACATGACCCAGCCAACGCAGCCTTGCCTGCCGGAGGAGCTCACCGATGGAACCTTGCCCAGATCTTTCAAGGGATTTGTGAGCTCCTCACACAATCCAGCCTGGTTAAACCCAAGATGGATCGTAGGGAGGCTAGCCTAAATGTTTCTAACTGGTGAAGATGTTCCATTAGGGGGGTCCACGTTTCGCAAGCGTAGAGAAGGGAGGGAATGACCGTGGCCGAGAAGACCTGAAGCTTAGTGCGGAGTGACAGACCAGGTAGCTTCCACACAGCGTTACGCAACCGATGAAAAGATATTGCCGCTCGACTGATTCGGAGTGAGACCTCTGCTGTTAAACTGGAACTGGTCATAAGCACACTGCCCAGGTATGGGAAACTCTCCACTCTCTCCACAACTGCCCCATCACCGATTGGGAGTTGTGGGGGTAGAGTGTCCGATGGTACAAAATACCCAGGCAGGTGCTTAGTTTTGGTGGGGCTGATGGTAAGGCCCCATCTCTTAGTGGCACGCTCCAGTCTCAGCAGCAGCGTCTTCAACTCCTCCTCTGAATGAGCAGCTATTACCAAATCATCGGCATACATAACGTGGTTGAGCCATCCCTTGACCGCACCCGGGCATCGATCAGCCTCCCATTATATCTGTACCATATGGAGATTCCCCCGGTACAGCTATTGAAGGCTTCACGAACTGCGTGGTCAAAATAGATGTTAAAAATGTGGGAGCCAGAGGACATCCCTGTCGCACCCCAAGGTGTACAGGGAATGGCTCTCACTCCCGGCCACGTAGTTTTACCCGGGCCCACTCACCATCATGAAGGTCCTTAATGATCGTGAGCAGAGGGTCAGGGACTCCGAAAGCACGAAGAACAACGCAGAGGCCAGGCCTACTGATGGTATCATAGGCCTTGACCAAGTCAATAAAGCAGAGATGTAGGTCTTGCTGGAATTCCCTACACCTCTGCTGTAGCAGACGAACAGAAAATATGGCATCTGTGCAGGACCGCCCTTTCCTGAAACCGCATTGGGGCTCCGCAAGCCTCTCCTCAGCGTGCCTGGCAAGGCAATGTTGAATAATCCTTGCCAGGACCTTTCCCGACACACTGAGGAGTGAGATGCCCCTGTAGTTGTTACAGTCTGTGCGGTCCCCCTTCTTAAAGAGGGGGACCACTAGGGCATCCTTCCAATCCTGCGGAACCCGTCCAGTGGTCCAGACTGTTGTTATGATGTCCTATAGGGCAGTCTGTGCACAAATGCCACCCTCCCTCAGCATTTCGCTTGGGAGATCATCTCTGCCCCGGTGCCTTTCCTGGTCTCAGACTCCGGATCGCCTTCAGTACTTCCTCAACAGATGGCACCTCAGCCAGCCACTCACAGGGGGTGACTTCTTCCAATATTTGAGGCACCGCAGCCTCAGCAGGGTCATCCCCACTTTGTGCCACGATGTTTTCCTGGCTAAGGGAGTTTCCCTCCCCCAGGACCTCACAGAAATGCTCAGCAAATCTGCAAACCTGTTCCTGGGGGTCAGAGATTGGATCACCGTTTTTTCCCCTAATTATGGTAATAGGTGTGGCACTGCAGGTTACTTTTTTGATGGAGTTAACCAGAGATTTGTAATCGCGGGCCACTGAGGCAGACGCCATCTCCTCAGCAACCCGCGACCACCACCCATCCTTGCAGCGCCTCATGGCTCTCCAAACCTCCGAGCGAAGGCTGCAGTAAGCCTCCTCATTCTCTGACTTGGGATTCTGTAGCCGATGACAGTGGGCCTGTCGCTTTTTCTCAACTATACTGAACACCTCCTCTGTCAGCCAGGGTCTCTGGGGAGGTCTGGACCGCGTACCCAAAGCAGCCAATGCAGCTGCATGAGTGACAGTCCTGAACCTCGCCCATTTACTCTCGACATCAGGAGGAGTGGGAGACAATGCCAACCCCAGTCGCAAACGATGATGAAATTCTCGCTTGCAACTTTCATCAGATAACTGAGACCAGGCCACTTTAGGTTGGAATGGGGTCCTGGGTGTACACCCACCACCGGAGTGGAAGAATGGCAAGCGCATCTTACAGATGACTAGTCGATGGTCAGAGGGCAGATCAGCTCCACGGTAGGTCCTGGTGTCAAGGACATGGGCTCGCATCTGCTGGTCCGTCACTATGTAGTCCAGCAGATGTTCTTGCTTGGACCCGGCATGCATCCATGATGTTGTGTGGATGCGCCAATGCCAGAACAGCGTGTTGGTAATTACAAGCCCATGGGCTGCACAAAAATCTAGCAGCCTCCTACCGTTGTTATTGAGCTGATCTGGCCGATGCCCTCCAATCACTCCAGACCAGGTGCCAGCATCATGACCAACTCGGGCATTGAAGTCACCCAACAAGATGACTCTATCCCAAGGGGCCACTTTAGCCAGCACCTGTGACAGGAGGTCATGGAAGGCATCTGACTCATCGGCTTTGCCTGCATCCCTCCATGGATGTTCGTCTTCGGTGGGGGCGTAACTAACCACGACCACCACTCCTCGCCTCCGGTTGATGGGAAGGCGAGCCCAAAGTAGCCTGGTACTTACAGCTTCCCACACCTCACCGCTACGCTCCCACGCCCTCTTCATTCTTTTGTTCAAAAGAGCCACACCCTGTTGTTTGGCAGTCTGCTGCCCCGAGTAGAGGACTGTCCACCCCTCATGGTGGCAGGAGCCAGAACCAGCTCCACCGGACCTCCTGAATGCCACAGAGATCCAGGCGGTACCGGTCCAGCTCCCGACAGAGGAGTGGCAGCCTCTCCTCCGCAGTGAGCGTTCGAACATTCCACGTGGCCACACGAAGTGGCTTTTCGTTGTTTCTGGAGGAGCCCCGAGGGTAGAGATTCAATCTCCTGGCTCCGCCAATTGGGGTTTGGCCAGGAGACGTCATAGACGCCTGTCCCCCCGGGGCCTCCGGCACAAGCTTATTAGTTATATATTTAAGTCGTAGTTTCGTGGTCATTTTTTGAAGGTGGAGGGGTCACCAGCCCCTCGCACCCGTCCACAGCTACACACACAGCTACACACACACTCGTTCTAGCGTGGATCACCGAGAACCCCCTCACCTTCCACCCCTCCCCCCCCACAGAGGTGGAGCGAGAGCTGGAGAAGAAGGCCGTGGCTCCGTCTCCGCTCTCGGCTGGCGGCGGCGGCGGCAGCGGCGCCGTCATCACGGCCAACGCCGCCGGGGGACCCGCGGCGCCGGGCGCCGGCGCCGGCGTCCGGGCGCCGGAGCTGCCCCCCAAGACCCCCAAAAGCAAGGAGGGGTCCGAGGGGGCCCCCGGCGCGGAGGGGCGAGAGTGGGCGGGAGGCTGCGACGGGGCCGCGACGGCGCCCGGGGGCCAGCAGCAGCAGCAGCAGCACGGCAGCGCAAACACCCTGCCCCGCACGGCGCACAGCCACGACTCTGGTACCCTCACTCACATCACTCACATCACTCGCATCACGTCCTCCCTCCCCTCCCTTCCTCCCCGATCCCCACCTCCCTTTCCCTCCCTCCCATTCCCTCCCTCCCCGCCCATCCAACCCCCTCCCCTCCCTCCTCCCCTCCCTCCCTCCCCGATCCCCACCTCCCCTCCCCTCCCTCCCATCCCCCCTCGCCTTCCTCCTATGGTGGTAACGATGACAACACTGGTGGGACTGGTTGTTAGCCGTGCTCGTGGTGGTGGTGGTGGCGGCGGCGGCGGCGGCAATGTCGACGACGGTGGCGGTGCTGCTGATGACGGTGCCGGTGCTGCCGCCGCGTGTGTCCGCGCCGGCGCCCAGACCCGCAGGCCGAGCTGGACGAGCGCCAGCCCCAGGGCTTCTTCCGTGAGCGCAAGCCGGGCTCCCTCTTCAGCTCGCTCATGTGGAAGAAGAAGAAGCAGGCGGCGTCCGCGGCGGCGACCGCGGCGCCGGTATCGCCGGCGACCGCGCCGGCGCCGGCACCGCCGGCCGCGCCGGCCGCCGGGACGACGCCGGCGACAACGGCGGCGGCGGCGGCGGCGGTGGCGGCGCCGCCGCCTCCCAAGCGGAGCAGCTCGTTCCGGGAGGCCGAGCCGCGGCGTCGGAGGGTCCCCGGCTCTCCGGGGGGCGGCAGCGTCGCCGCCGCCGCCGCCGGTGCAAACGGCGGCGCCCACCACCACCAGCAGCAGCAGCAGCAGGGAGCGACGGCGAACGGGACGGGCGGCGCCGCGGCGCTGGCCAACGGCGGGCTGGCGGCGCTCGCCGGCTTCCTGCGGCGCTCCGACAAGCCGGAGCGCGCCGGGGACAGGACGGCCGGCGGCGCCACCGCCGCCGGCAGCGACGAGGAGGGGGGGGCGACCTCCCAACGCGGCGCCGGCCAGCGTCCCGCCGTGCCGGCCGGCTCGGCGGGGGACGCCCAGCGCAGGGGCGGCGACGGCGCCGGGGCGCCGCCCTCCGCCGCCTCCGCCGGCGGGAAGCGCTCGGCGCTGCCCCCGTGCCTGCCGACGCGCAGGCGCGGGGACGACTGCGGCGGCGGCGGCGGCGGCGGCGTCGCCGGCTGCGTCAATGGCCGGGCCACCCCGCCGCCCAGGGCTTCCGCGGCGGCGCCGGCGAGCGTCGCTCGGACGTTCCAGAGGTCGGCGGGCGTGGGGGACGCCGACGGCCCCGGGGTGACGCCGCGGCCCCGGCAGAGGGTGGCGCAGCGCGCCGCCACGCTGGCGTCCAGCGTGCGGGAGCGAGCGGCCGCCGTCAGCAGGGCGTCCGGGAGGGCGGCGCCGGCCGGCGCCGCCGCGACGTCGCCGCCGCCGCCGGCGGCCGCCGGCACGGAGACCGCCGCCTCCGCCGCCTCCGCCGCCGCGACCTCCGGTGCCTCCGCCGCGAGCGCCGTCGCCACCGCCGGCGCCGCCGCCCCCCCTGGCTACGGGCTCTCTGAGCCAGCGGCGGGGGGAGCTGGCGAACAGGCACGGCTCGCCGGGCCCGGCCGCTCTGGCAACGCCGGGCGGCGGGAAGGAGAAGGGGGCCGGCGGGGGCCTCGGCGCGGCCGCGCAACTCCGCTCGGCGCGGCCTGGCGCGGCAACGGCGCCAGCCGACGGGCGGCCCTCGGAGAGCGCCGGCGGCGGCGGCAGGGCCAGGCCGGCCGCCAACGGGGACGGCGGCCGCAAGGGGGCAGCCGCCGGCGGCGGCGGCGGCGGCGTCGGCGTCGGCGTTTCGGCGCCGCCGAGGGGCGGGGCGAAGGGGACGGCGTCCAACCCCGGGCCGGAGCGCGGAGCCGTCGGCGCCCAGCAGCACCACCTGCTGGGCCCCCACGCATCGGCGCGCTCCTCCCTGCGCAAGACGGCGGGGCCGGCGCGGCCCAGCGGGCAGAGCGTGACGCGCGACACGGTGCTGGAGCGAGCCGAGGCCCTGCGGGTCGCCGTCAACGGCGGCGCCGGCGGCTCCTCGGCCTCCCCCCTCCCCGCGGCGACGGCGGCGGCGGCGGCGGCGGCGCCGGCGGCGCCGGCGGCCGTCGTGTCCCACGTGGCGGTGCTGGAGGCCGGGCAGCAGCTGCTGGCGTCGTGCCAGGCGTACGTGAGCGCCATCAAGCAGATGCGCGCCAAGTTCGCGCTGCGCGAAGCCGTGGACAAGCTGGAGCTGGCGCTGCGCGAGATGCGCGTCTCCCCGGGCTCGGCGTCGGCGCTGGGGCCCGGCGCGGCCGCCAGCTCCGCCGGCGCCCTCCTCGCCAGCGCCGACGACATTGCGCTCATCGTGACGAGGTAGCGACGGCGCCGGCGGTGGAAGAGGGATGACGACGACGACGAGGAGGACGAGGAGGAGGAGGAGGAGGAAGAAGAAGAGACTCCGCGTGGCTCCGAGACATTGCCGGCTCCGTCCCAGCCTACGGCCCCGCCGGGAGAGACTGACCGCGGCGGCGCCGGTCAAGTGGCAGATCGGAGGGGGCCTCGGCACAAGCGGGGGGGGGGGAGGGGGGGGCAAGAGGGGCATGATGCCCCCCCTCACCCCCGCACCTTCATCCATGAGGACTTGCACACAGCGGCCTTTATCAAGCAAGCAATAGATGCTAAGAGTTTTGTTATCGACGAAGATGCTGTACGTTTATTTCCTTTTTTTTTAGACACGGTGACGGGGGGCCACTCTCACTTGGGGCGGTGGGGGTTACACAGTGGGGGGGGGGGGTGCAGGGGAGAGGGGTCACCCCCCCCCCCCGGGGGGGGGGGGGGGCGGGGGGGGCGGTCCGGGTCACGCGGCTCAAGTGTGGACGGTCGGGAAGACGCTTGCCCCCCCCCCTCACCCCCCATCGCGCCCCCCCCCCTGCGACCTCCAACCCCGACTCCTCCCCCTTCCCACGCTCCCTCCCTATCTGTGTCCACCCCCCCTCCCCTTATCCCTCCCCGCCCTCCCCCAGTGTTGCCCACGCCAGCCCAGTGTCCCAGCTGCGCGCCACCCACGCTCCCGTGTAGCGCACATCCCTCCTTGTCACCCCCCACTCACCCCCCACTCACCCCCACTCCACCTCCCACTCACCCCCCACTCACCCCCCACTCACCCCCACTCCACCCCCCACTCACCCCCCACTCACCCCCACGCGCACTCCCCGGCGTGCGTGCGTGCGTTTGTATACCGCCCACGTGGGCACCTTGCCGGTTTTTAATACTGTACCACTTGGTTGCTGTACCACGTGGGCTGCTCTCTCTCAGACTCTCGCCTCCGCTGTGTCTCACCGCGTGTCTCACCGCGTGTCTCACCGCGTGTCTCACCGCCTGTGTCGTGTGTCGTGTGTGTGTGACTGCGTGCGTGAGAGGGGGGAGCGGTGGTGTCGTAGCGGGTAGCGCTACGCCGCGCTACGAACCCGGCGGCCCGAGTTCGATTCCCGCTCACGGCCACCAACACCGGTCAGTTGATCTGGTCCCGGGCCTCCCCTAGGTCGACTCGGCCTCAAGTGAGTACCGGGTGCGTTGTGTAAACATCGCCACTGGGGGAGACAAAGGCGGCCGGGCGTGGTGCTGGCCACCCCACCCCCTCGTGTGCCGTTCCGGCCTTCATAGGTGCTCGCTTAACAGCACTTGCCCCTACGGTCTGTGAACACTATAGGGGGTGGGGGGGGGGGTCTTTGTATGTGTGTGTCGCGCGTCTCACCGTGCGTGTGTCTCACCATGCATGCGTGTGTCGGCGCGTCTCGCCGTGCGTGCGTGCACGTGTGTCGCGTGGGGTGGAGCGGGGAGCGGCAACGAATGTGAACAGCGAGGTAGCTCGCCCGCCGCTCCTCTCGTCGTCATGGGGCAGTAGCGAAACCCGCCGTCGCCACGGCCAACGGCACTCATCACCCTCGCGGCGGTGGCGGCGGAGGCGGTGGTGGAGGCGGTGGCGGAGGCAGTGGCGGCGGTGGCGGCGGAGGCAGTGGCGGAGGCGGTGGCGGTGGCTTTCCTGGCTGGCCGTCGAGCGAAAGACGGACGGGGGTCACCGTGCGGCGTTTTCGGGCTGCTGCTGCTTCCGCGGCCGTCTGGAACGCTCTTCAGCATACACTACTATACACTACACTAAAGACACGACTATACATTACACTATACACTACTGTGCACAACACTACTATACATAACACCACACATTACACTGCCGTACATGACACTATACACTACACTAAACACATTATTATACGCGAAAAATACACCACGCTATACACTACTATACCATAGACTATACACTACATGACTATACACTACTACAATACTCCATGACTTGACACTACGCGATACACTACACTACTATACACTACTATACCATAGACTATACACTACATGACTATACACTACTACAATACTCCATGACTTGACACTACGCGATACACTACACTACTATACACTACTATACCATAGACTATACACTACATGACTATACACTACTACAATACTTAACACTCCACGACTTGGCACTACGCGATACACTACACTACTATACACTACTGTACCATAGACTATACACTACATGACTATACACTACTACAATACTCCATGACTTGACACTACGCGATACACTACACTACTATACACTACTATACCATAGACTATACACTACATGACTATACACTACTACAATAATCCACGACTTAACACTACGCGATACACTACACTACTATACACTACTATACCATAGACTATACACTACATGACTATACACTACTACAATACTCCACGACTTGACACTACGCGATACACTACACTACTATACACTACTATACCATAGACTATACACTACATGACTATACACTACTACAATACTCCACGACTTGACACTACGCGATACACTACACTACTATACACTACCATACCATAGACTATACACTACATGACTATACACTACTACATACTCAACACTCCACGACTTGACACAACGCGATACACTACACTACTATACACTACTATACCATAGACTATACACTACATGACTATACACTACTACAATACTCCACGACTTGACACTACGTGATACACTACACTACTATACACTACTATACCATAGACTATACACTACATGACTATACACTACTACAATACTCCACGACTTGACACTACGCGATACACTACACTACTATACACTACTATACCATAGACTATACACTACATGACTATACACTACTACAATAATCCACGACTTAACACTACGCGATACACTACACTACTATACACTACTATACCATAGACTATACACTACATGACTATACACTACTACAATACTCAACACTCCATGACGTGACACTACGCGATACACTACACTACTATACACTACTATACCATAGACTATACACTACATGACTATACACTACTACAATAATCGACGACTTAACACTACGCGATACACTACACTACTATACACTACGGCACTATACTCAATTGAGAACTAATTTCTTTAGAATGGCTTGTTGTGTGTTAGTGTGTTGCCCCCCCCCCCCGCACGTATGGTGTGAAAGAAGTTCAACACACACACACACACACCACGTTTTCCCCACTCGCAACGAACTACAACATCAGAGACGATTATCTAAACCGGTCCCGGGACTCCGCCTAAGTCGATTCAGCCTCAAATGAGTAACCCTGGTGCGGTGCGTACCAAACATCAACACTGGGGAGACAAAGGTGGCCGGGCATGGTGCTGGCCACCCACCGGCTCACGTGCCACAGTGCTGGCCTTCATAGGTGCTCGCTAACAGCACTTACCCCAACATTCTGTTAAGGCTGTTAGCCTTTGGATCAGTGTCGGTCTTCGGGATCAGTGTTGGTCTACGGGGTCAGTGTCAGTCTACTGCTCCAGTGTCGGTCTACGGGGTCAGTGTCAGTCTACGGGGTCAGTGTCAGTCTACGGGGTCAGTGACAGTCTACTGCTCCAGTGTCAGCCTACGGGGTCAGTGTTGGTCTATGGGGTCAGTGTTGGTCTATGGGGTCAGTGTCGGCCTACGGGGTCAGTGTCGGTCTATGGGGTCAGTGTCGGTCTACGGGGTGAGTGTCGGTCTACGGGGTCAGTGTCGGTCTACGGGGTCAGTGTCGGTCTACGGGGTCAGTGTCGGTCTACGGGGTGAGTGTCGGTCTATGGGGTCAGTCTCGGTCTACGGGGTCAGTGTCAGTCTACGGGGTCAGTGTCAGTCTACAGGGTCAGTGTTAGTCTACGGGGTCAGTGTCAGTCTACGGGGTCAGTGTTGGTCTACCGGGTCAGTGTCGGTCTACGGGGTCAGTGTCGGTCTACGGGGTCAGTGTCGGTCTATGGGGTCAGTGTTGGTCTACGGGGTCAGTGTCAGTCTACGGGGTCAGTGTCAGTCTACGGGGTCAGTGTTGGTCTACGGGGTCAGTATCAGTCTACAGGCCCAGTGTCCGCCCTCCCCCCTCACCGTCCACCCACCCCAATCCGAGAGCAGCTGGAACCTTTACCTGGGTGGAAACTTATTTACCTCTGCAAGGGTGCCGCACTCTCCAGCCATTGCTGCTATAGTACCCTTGTTCATTATTTTTTTTGTTAATACGTCTTAACGAAATATATAAATTCCGTTAAGATTAAATAAGGCAACGTGTCTCTTAGCCGCCCTGCCAGGGTTCCTAGCGCGCAGCCGTCTAGAGTCTAGACATGGGCAAAGTACGGCCCGTTGGGCTTTTTAATCCGGCCCGCCGAACTTGTCCAAATATTATTATTAAATTGAATTTTACCTTTCTCCTGTAATGCCCCCATTTCCCCATTAGATGGCGCACTTTGACCGGGAGTGGCCCGGCCCCTCTGTCAAATTTTAGAACCCATTGTGGCCCGCGAGGCGAAAAATTTGGCCACCCCTGGCTCTATACTGACTATAACACTGGACCCAGAGACCAACACTGGCCCCCCCTAGACTAACTGTCTCTCACTACCATCATATCTCTCTTTGGATCCCTCACCATCTCACGATATCTCTCGCCATCTCACGAAATCTCTTAACTGTGCTCCGAGTCTAAATGTGGAGGGGGAAAAAACCCGGAGGACCCGGAGAAAAATCCACGTGACCACGGGCAGAGAGAGACGCAAACTCCACATATAGAGCAGCAGGACATCGTCAGGGTCGGGATCGAATCCACGACCTCCTGCATACCATGCGAAAGTAGTTGACATCTCGCAACCGTCATCCATCAACTCGCCAATTCACTCACCCAACCACTCCACCCAGTCTGGTGGAACCATCAACTCACCGATTCACTCGCCCACCCACTCACCCTTCCCACGCCACCACTGGTGGAACCATCGACTCGCTCGCCGATTCACACACTTCTAGATTTGAAGCTTTCGTGACTGCAAGGATCCCTACTCTTTGGTTCTATTTGGTAAAGTCACGTAGGTAAAAATAAAAAAAATAAAAAAATCACGACGTTTCGGCCACAACACAAGTGGCCTTCATCAGGTGAAGGGACCCGGACTGTCCAGAGCACAGCGTTGGAGTGAAGACAGCCAAGCCCAGGTCGCGTCCTTTAAGCTGTGTGGGAGGAAGCAAAGGACACGACCTGGGCTTGGCTGTCTTCACTCCAACGCTGTCCTCTGGACAGTCCAGTCCCTTCACCTGATGAAGGCCACTTGTGTTGTGGCCGAAACGTCGTGATTTTTTGTTATTTTATTTTTACCTACGTGACTTTACCGAATAGAACCAAAGAGTATGGATTCACACACTGCTCGCCCATTCACTCACCCATCGCCTGCCTGCATCATCAGAACATCGCCGCCGGGACCGATGCGGCATCGCGTCCCCTTCACGAATGGGGAATTCAAGAAAACGGTAGAAGTGTGCGATAGTGGCCATGCAACACGCACTGTGTACCACATCGTGATACGCGTACTAATTTTATAGACGCACAGAGTCAGAGACGCGTAAGACATTATATATAAGGGGGTGTTTTTTATGTTTTCATTTGACCAGGCAGGGCCCCCAACTGCACTGCGTCGCTCTTTTTTCAGAAGCGAGCTGGCCATCACAAATGATGGCTCAACGAAGGCCGGCTTATCGTCATCGTGACGTTGACATTAATAATAGCCCAATCGAAACGCAGGTTTCTACAGACCCCTCGACGCACAGAGACCCATGCTCACCAAGGCTGCTCGAGACCCATACTAAGAGACACGTACACAACCACACTCGGAGACCCACAAACCCGCAGAGACTCATACTCATAGAGACCTACACAGATCCTTACAGGACTCCTAAGAGACCCACAGACACCCATAGAAACACATTCCATAGAGACCCATACTCAAGAGAGACCCATACTCAGAGAGCCACAAAGACCCATAGAGACTCGCAGAGAACCACAGAGACCCACAGACTCATCGAGACCCACAGACACCCATAGAAACACATTCCATAGAGACCCATACTCAGAGACCCATACTCAGAGACCCACAAAGACCCATAGAGACTCGCAGAGAACCACAGAGACCCACATACTCATCGAGACCCACAGACACCCATAGAAACACATTCCATAGAGACCCATACTCAGAGACCCATACTCAGAGACCCACAAAGACCCATAGAGACTCGCAGAGAACCACAGAGACCCACGGACTCATCGAGACCCATACTAAATCTAAACTTAAATTTTTATTAGGTAAGGTGGGCGTTGCTGGCGCTCACGTGACGCGGTTACGCGCCCGTGACGTCACAAGTCACGCGCTTCGGCTGACGTCACCTCGGGGGGGGGGGGCGGGTGGAGCTGGTGGAAGGAGCAGTGATCACGTGCCCGGCACGAGCTCGCGCGTTTGATTGGGCAACGGTCTCGCCCCTCACGTGGTTGAGGAGTTGGCGACCAATCAGGAAGCGCAACTGGCGAAGAGCCTCGCCAACTCTTGGATAACCGGAGGCGCCATCTTGGGTAGGAGTGTAGCCCCTCCCTCCCCGCTATTAAATGTCCACGTGATGCTGATAATCCACTTGGTTGAGCTGCTAGCATTTGTGATGGCCAGGTCAGGGCAAGGCCGTAACCATGGAGTCAACATTGGGGGGGAACCAAATCTTTCAGGGGGTCTGGGTGTCTCCCCCCCCCCCCCCCCGAAAAAAAAATCAAAATTTGAAAACGAATTTCCGGCCTAAAATATAAAAAAATATTCACTAACACATGCGATGGACTTTTTATTTATTTTTTTACAATAATGTCTAACAGTGTTATTATATTACATTGCTCTGTTCTTTCTTTTCTTGTTTCATTGTATGAAATGGAAGAGATTAGGGATTAATAAAGTACAACCATAACCACAATCATATAAACAGAAATCTATTTTATAGCGATATATTGGGGGGGGGGCATTTTGAGCATATTTGAATATCGGGGGAGATGTGTGCCCCCCAATATTTATTATAATTACGGCCTTGGGTCAGGGCTTCCTAAAAAGATATCCACAGCAGCTAAGAGGGACCTTAACCTGATAAAAAAAAGTAAAATATAGTTTAGTTTTAGTATGGGTCTCTTTGGGTTTCTGTGAGTATGAGTCTTCAGAAACACGCGTTTAGAGTTTTTGGCTGCTATGAATGTTCACGTGATGATGATGATAAGCCAGTTCGTTGAGCTGCTATAAGGGGGGATCGCTTCTAAAATAAGAGCGACACAGCAGCTCAATGTGACCTTAACCTGGTGAAATAAAAAAAATATCGTTTAGTTTAGAACAAGGACGTAATTATAATATATATTGGGGGGGGGGGGTGGGACACACATCCCCACATCCCCCCCAATATTCAAATATGCTCAAAATGTCCCCCCCCCCTCAATATATTGCTATAAAATAGATTTCTGTTTTAGGTTATACCGGTAGGAACCTCCTGGTTACACCACCAGCGCACAGGGGATTATTGTGTCCGTCCGTCGTGCATCCAAAAATGGGAGGGGAGGGGCTGGGTGGGGAGGGGTGGGTGGGGAGGGGCTGGTCACCCCGTGGTGCCCTTATAAAACTCAACGTTTAACCTACTCACGCCGGCTTGTGCCCGCCCTCACAGTCGGGCATATTGTGCGGAATACACCACGTGGTGGTGCCGCCGTTGTAGACCCTGGCCATTGACCGAGCAACCCAACGTTCCTACCAGCTCCTCCCTCCGCAGGAGAATGTGTTTTTGCCGTGCATGTCGAGCTTGTTGCAGGCTGCTACCCCCCCCACCCTCTCTATCATTGGCTCCCCCCCCCTCACTCATCTACACAGCCTCTTGTTATCAGCAGATCTTTTGCCTACTTCAGCCATTTGTTTCCTGCTGTGGTTGTCCCGCCTGATGACGGACGCTTGTGTTACGTCCGAGACGTCGTGATTTAATTTATTTTATACTTTCTACCCACGTGACTTCACCGAAAGAAGCAAAAGAGATCGTTTCAGTCACGAAAACTCCAAATCTTGTTCATATGGTTGTGGTTATGGTTGTACTTTATTAAGCCCTAATCTCTGCCATTAAATACAATGAAACAAGAAAAGTAAAAAAGAAAAAAAACAGGGCAATGTAATACAATAACACTATTAGACATTATTGTTAAAAAAATAAATATAAAAAGTCCAACCTATGTATTAGTGATTTTTTAAAAATATTTTAGGCAGGAAATTCGTTTTAAAATGTAGATTTTTTTTTCTGGATGGGGACCCCCAGAAAGATTTGGTCCCCCCAGAAAGATTTGGTCCCTTTTAATGTTGACTCCATGGCTACGGCCTTGGTTTAGAAACATGCGTTTAGAGCATTTTCTTGCTATAATGTCCACGTGATGATGATGATGATAAGCCGTTTCGTTGAGCTATCATTTGTGGCCAGGTCGCTTCTGACAAAGCTATACTCTTTGGTTCTATACGGTAAAGTCACGTAGGTAAAAAAATAAAACAGCAAAAATCACGACGTTTCGGCCACAACACAAGTGGCCTTCATCAGGTGAAGGGACCGTACTGTCCAGAGGACAGCGTTGGAGTTCTATTCGGTAAAGTCACCTATATGTGACTTTACCGAATAGAACCAAAGAGTGTGGATCCTTGCAGTCACGAAAGCTTCAAACAGTGATTTGTATATGTTATATGTTGTTATATGTTAAGCAGCCATTTAAACAGGTCCCTGCAGGGTGGGCTGGTAGGACAAGTCTCTGCGCTGTCTATTGCTGATTTTACACCCAACAGCACGAGATTTCACTTCGTTAAAGTATTGAAAGGGGACGGACGGACGGACACATTAATCTATTGCAGGCTGGTACACTCAGTTTACAACATCGTTCCTACCAGTAGAAACGCGAAATCAAGATAATGCAGTGGATGTAAATACTCGAATAGTTATTTAAAGAAATGCAAAAATCAGGACGGTAAAATGTAAATAGTGATTTGTGTATCTTAAATATCCATTTAAGAAACAGGAAATCAAGATAATGGAGTGAATGTAAATGCCTAAATATTATTTGAAGAAATGCAAAAACAAAGGCGGTGAAATGTTAATAGTGATCTAAACGTGTTCAACGGTCATTTAAGAAACCCTAAAATGGTTTCAAATTAAATTTCGATTTAAAGCTTTCGTGACTGCAGGGATTCATATTCTTGGTTCTTTCGGTAAAGTCACGTAGAAATGAAATAATAATAAAATAATAAAAACAATAACATTCTCACGTTTCGATTGAAACGCGTTTCAAATTAGCCCTTACCAACATGGCCGCCGACGCTTCGCGTGACGTCACCGCTTTCCCCGAGGGGGCCCCTCCCCCACTCGCCCTCCCCCCGTCACGTGATGTCTCTGGGGTGGTGGAGGCAGAGCAGCAGGAAGAAGCAGCAATGGCGAGTCAGTCCCACGGCATCCAGCAGCTGCTGCAGGCCGAGAAGCGAGCGGCGGAGAAGGTGTCCGAAGCTCGCAAGCGTGAGTGGGGGGTGTCTATGTAGGGGGGGTGTCTGTGCGGGGTGTCTATGTGGGGTGTCTATGTAGGGGGGGTGTCTGTGCGGGGTGTCTGTCTGTGTAGGGGGGGGTGTCTGTGTGGGTGTCTGTGTGGGTGTCTGTCTGGGTGTCTGTGTGGGGTGGCTGTGTGGGGTGTCTGTGCGGGTGTTTGTCTGTGTAGGGTGTCTGTATGGGGTGTCTGTCTGGGTGTCTGTGTGGGGTGTCTGTGTGGGGTGTCTATGTAGGGTGTCTATGTAGGGGGGTGTCTGTGTGGGGTGTCTGTGTGGGGTGTCTGTGTGGGGTGTCTGTGTAGGGTGTCTGTGTGTGGTGTCTGTGTAGGGTGTCTGTGTGGGGTGTCTGTGTGGGGTGTCTGTGTGGGGTGTCTGTGTAGGGTGTCTGTGTAGGGTGTCTGTGTGTGGTGTCTGTGTAGGGTGTCTGTGTAGGGTGTCTGTGTAGGGTGTCTGTGTAGGTGTATGTCTGTGTAGGGTGTTTGTCTGTGTAGGGTGTCTGTCTGTGTAGGTGTCTGTCTGTGTGGGGTGTCTGTGTAGGGTGTCTGTGTGGGGTGTCTGTGTGTGGTGTCTGTGTGGGGTGTCTGTGTGGGGTGTCTGTGTGGGGTGTCTGTGTGGGGTGTCTGTGTGCGGTGTCTGTGTAGGGTGTCTGTGTGGGGTGTCTGTGTGGGGTGTCTGTGTAGGGTGTCTGTGTAGGTGTCTGTCTGTGTAGGGTGTTTGTTTGTGTAGGGTGTCTGTCTGTGTAGGTGTCTGTCTGTGTGGGGTGTCTGTGTGGGGTGTATGTGTGTGTGGTGTCTGTGTAGGGTGTCTGTGTAGGGTGTCTGTGTGGGGTGTCTGTGTGGGGTGTCTGTGTGGGGTGTCTGTGTGGGATGTCTGTGTGTGGTGTCTGTGTAGGGTGTCTGTGTGGGGTGTCTGTGTAGGGTGTCTTTGTGGGGTGTCTGTGTGGGTGTCTGTGTGGGGTGTCTGTGTGGGGTGTCTGTGTGGGGTGTCTGTGTGGGTGTCTGTGTGGGGTGTCTGTGTGGGGTGTCTGTGTGGGGTGTCTGTATGGGGTGTCTGTGTGGGTGTCTGTGTGGGGTGTCTGTGTGGGGTGTCTGTGTAGGGTGTCTGTGTGGGGTGTCTGTGTAGGGTGTCTGTGTAGGGTGTCTGTGCGGGTGTCTGTGTAGGGTGTCTGTGCGGGTGTCTGTCTGTGTAGGGTGTCTGTGTGGGGTGTCTGTGTGGGGTGTCTCTGCGGGGTGTCTGTGCGGGGTGTCTGTGCGGGGTGTCTGTCTGTCTGTGTAGGGTGTCTGTGTGGGGTGTCTGTGTAGGGTGTCTGTGTAGGGTGTCTGTGTGGGGTGTCTGTGCGGGGTGTCTGTGCGGGGTGTCTGTCTGTCTGTGTGGGGTGTCTGTGTAGGGTGTCTATGTGGGTGCCTGTGTGGGTGTCTGTCTGTGTGGGGTGTCTGTGCGGGGTGTCTGTCTGTCTGTGCGGGGTGTCTGTACGGCTCTGGGTGTCTGTCTGTGCGGGGTGTCTGTGTGGGGTGTCTCTGCGGGGTGTCTGTGTAGGGTGTCTGTGTGGGGTGTCTGTGTGGGGTGTCTGTGTAGGGTGTCTTTGTGTGGTGTCTGTATGGGGTGTCTGTGTGGGGTGTCTGTGTGGGGTGTCTGTGTGGGATGTCTGTGTGTGGTGTCTGTGTAGGGTGTCTGTGTGGGGTGTCTGTGTAGGGTGTCTTTGTGGGGTGTCTGTGTGGGTGTCTGTGTGGGGTGTCTGTGTGGGGTGTCTGTGTGGGTGTCTGTGTGGGGTATCTGTGTGGGGTGTCTGTGTAGGGTGTCTGTGTGGGGTGTCTGTGTAGGGTGTCTGTGTAGGGTGTCTGTGCGGGTGTCTGTGTAGGGTGTCTGTGCGGGTGTCTGTCTGTGTAGGGTGTCTGTGTGGGGTGTCTGTGTGGGGTGTCTGTGTGGGGTGTCTGTGTGGGGTGTCTGTGCGGGGTGTCTGTGCGGGGTGTCTGTGCGGGTGTCTGTGTGGGGTGTCTGTGTAGGGTGTCTGTGTAGGGTGTCTGTGCGGGTGTCTGTCTGTGTAGGGTGTCTGTGTGGGGTGTCTGTGTGGGGTGTCTGTGTGGGTGTCTGTGTGGGTGTCTGTGTGGGGTATCTGTGTGGGGTGTCTGTGTAGGGTGTCTGTGTGGGGTGTCTGTGTAGGGTGTCTGTGTAGGGTGTCTGTGCGGGTGTCTGTGTAGGGTGTCTGTGCGGGTGTCTGTCTGTGTAGGGTGTCTGTGCGGGGTGTCTGTGCGGGGTGTCTGTGCGGGTGTCTGTGTGGGGTGTCTGTGTAGGGTGTCTGTGTAGGGTGTCTGTGCGGGTGTCTGTCTGTGTAGGGTGTCTGTGTGGGGTGTCTGTGTGGGGTGTCTGTGCGGGGTGTCTGTGCGGGGTGTCTGTGCGGGGTGTCTGTCTGTCTGTGTGGGGTGTCTGTCTGTCTGTGTGGGGTGTCTGTCTGTCTGTGTGGGGTGTCTGTGTAGGGTGTCTGTGTAGGGTGTCTGTGTGGGGTGTCTGTGTAGGGTGTCTGTGTAGGGTGTCTGTGTAGGGTGTCTGTGTGGGGTGTCTGTGTAGGGTGTCTGTGTAGGGTGTCTGTGTGGGGTGTCTGTGTGGGGTGTCTGTGTGGGGTGTCTGTGTAAGGTGTCTGTGTAGGGTGTCTGTGTGGGGTGTCTGTGCGGGGTGTCTGTGCGGGGTGTCTGTCTGTCTGTGTGGGGTGTCTGTGTAGGGTGTCTGTGCGGGTGTCTGTGTAGGGTGTCTGTGCGGGTGTCTGTCTGTGTAGGGTGTCTGTGTGGGGTGTCTGTGTGGGGTGTCTGTGCGGGGTGTCTGTGCGGGGTGTCTGTGCGGGTGTCTGTGTGGGGTGTCTGTGTAGGGTGTCTGTGTAGGGTGTCTGTGCGGGTGTCTGTCTGTGTAGGGTGTCTGTGTGGGGTGTCTGTGTGGGGTGTCTGTGTGGGTGTCTGTGTGGGTGTCTGTGTGGGGTATCTGTGTGGGGTGTCTGTGTAGGGTGTCTGTGTGGGGTGTCTGTGTAGGGTGTCTGTGTAGGGTGTCTGTGCGGGTGTCTGTGTAGGGTGTCTGTGCGGGTGTCTGTCTGTGTAGGGTGTCTGTGCGGGGTGTCTGTGCGGGGTGTCTGTGCGGGTGTCTGTGTGGGGTGTCTGTGTAGGGTGTCTGTGTAGGGTGTCTGTGCGGGTGTCTGTCTGTGTAGGGTGTCTGTGTGGGGTGTCTGTGTGGGGTGTCTCTGCGGGGTGTCTGTGCGGGGTGTCTGTGCGGGGTGTCTGTGCGGGGTGTCTGTCTGTCTGTGTGGGGTGTCTGTCTGTCTGTGTGGGGTGTCTGTCTGTCTGTGTGGGGTGTCTGTATAGGGTGTCTGTGTAGGGTGTCTGTGTGGGGTGTCTGTGTAGGGTGTCTGTGTAGGGTGTCTGTGTAGGGTGTCTGTGTGGGGTGTCTGTGTAGGGTGTCTGTGTAGGGTGTCTGTGTGGGGTGTCTGTGTGGGGTGTCTGTGTGGGGTGTCTGTGTAAGGTGTCTGTGTAGGGTGTCTGTGTGGGGTGTCTGTGCGGGGTGTCTGTGCGGGGTGTCTGTCTGTCTGTGTGGGGTGTCTGTGTAGGGTGTCTGTGTGGGGTGTCTGTGTGGGGTGTTTGTGTAGGGTGTCTGTGTAGGGTGTCTGTGTAGGGTGTCTGTGTGGGGTGTCTGTGTGGGGTGTCTGTGTGGGGTGTCTGTGTGGGGTGTCTGTGTGGGGTGTCTGTGTGGGGTGTCTGTGCGGGGTGTCTGTCTGTCTGTGTAGGGTGTCTGTGTAGGGTGTCTATGTGGGTGCCTGTGTGGGTGTCTGTCTGTGTGGGGTGTCTGTGCGGTGTGTCTGTGCGGGGTGTCTGTCTGTCTGTGCGGGGTGTCTGTGCGGGGTGTCTGTGTAGGGTGTCTGTGCGGGGTGTCTGTGCGGGGTGTCTGTGTGGGGTGTCTGTGCGGGGTGTCTGTACGGCTCTGGGTGTCTGTCTGTGTAGGGTGTCTGTGTGTGGTGTCTGTGTAGGGTGTCTGTGCGGGGTGTCTGTGCGGGGTGTCTGTGTGGGGTGTCTGTGCGGGGTGTCTGTACGGCTCTGGGTGTCTGTCTGTGTAGGGTGTCTGTGTAGGGTGTCTGTGCGGGGTATCTGTCTGTGTGGGGTGTCTGTGTGGGGTGTTTGTGTGGGTGTCTGTGTGGGTGTCTGTGTGGGGTGTCTGTGTAGGGTGTCTGTGTAGGGTGTCTGTGTGGGGTGTCTGTGCGGGGTGTCTGTACGGCTCTGGGTGTCTGTCTGTGTAGGGTGTCTGTGTAGGGTGTCTGTGCAGGATGTCTGTGCGGGGTGTCTGTCTGTGCGGGGTGTCTGTACGGCTCTGGGTGTCTGTCTGTGTAGGGTGTCTGTGTAGGGTGTCTGTGCGGGGTGTCTGTCTGTGCGGGGTGTCTGTGCGGGGTGTCTGTACGGCTCTGGGTGTCTGTGTGGGGTGTCTGTGCAGGATGTCTGTGCGGGGTGTCTGTCTGTGCGGGGTGTCTGTACGGTTCTGGGTGTCTGTCTGTGTAGGGTGTCTGTGTAGGGTGTCTGTGCGGGGTGTCTGTCTGTGCGGGGTGTCTGTGCGGGGTGTCTGTACGGCTCTGGGTGTCTCTGTGGGGTGTCTGTCTGTGCGGGGTGTCTGTACGGCTCTGGGTGTCTGTCTGTGTAGGGTGTCTGTGTAGGGTGTCTGTGCGGGGTGTCTGTACGGCTCTGGGTGTCTGTGTGGGGTGTCTGTCTGTGCGGGGTGTCTGTACGGCTCTGGGTGTCTGTGTGGGGTGTCTGTCTGTGCGGGGTGTCTGTGCGGGGTGTCTGTACGGCTCTGGGTGTCTGTGTGGGGTGTCTGTGCGGGGTGTCTGTACGGCTCTGGGTGTCTGTGTGGGGTGTCTCAGGGAAGAACCAGCGGCTGAAGCTCGCCAAGAAGGAGGCACAGGCGGAGATCGACGAGTACAAGACGAAGCGTGAGGAGGAGTTCGCTCAGCGGCGCGACGCGGTGAGACCCCCGGCACGGCAACGTGGAGTGGGCGAGGCGGGGGGGGGGGGTTACAGACGGGGGCGGCTGCGGCCACTCCTACCGTGAACGCCAGATACGACAGGCGCTGTGTGAGTGGTGTGCTGTGTGTGAGTGAGTGGTGTGCTGTGTGGTGTGCTGTGTGTGAGTGGTGTGCTGTGTGTGAGTGGTGTGCTGTGTGTGAGTGAGTGGTGTGCTGTGTGAGTGTGAGTGGTGTGCTGTGAGTGAGTGGTGCGCTGTGTGTGTGAGTGGTGTGTGAGTGGTGTGTGAGAGGTGCGCTGTGTGTGAGTGGTGTGCTGTGTGTGTGTGTGAGTGGTGTGCTGTGTGTGTGTGTGAGTGGTGCGCTGTGTGTGAGTGGTGCGCTGTGTGTGTGTGAGTGGTGCGCTGTGTGAGTGCTGTGTGAGTGGTGCGCTGTGTGTGTGTGTGAGTGGTGCGCTGTGTGTGAGTGGTGCGCTGTGTGTGTGTGTGAGTGGTGCGCTGTGTGTGAGTGGTGCGCTGTGTGTGTGTGTGAGTGGTGCGCTGTGTGTGAGTGGTGCGCTGTGTGTGTGTGTGAGTGGTGCGCTGTGTGTGAGTGTGAGTGGTGCGCTGTGTGTGAGTGGTGCGCTGTGTGTGAGTGGTGCGCTGTGTGTGTGTGAGTGGTGCGCTGTGTGTGAGTGTGAGTGGTGTGCTATGTGAGTGGGGCGCTGTGTGTGTGTGTGAGTGGTGTGCTATGTGAGTGGTGCGCTGTGTGTGCGCGAGTGAACGGTGCACCCCCTCTGTGCCGTGTGCTCCAGTGGGTTTATGTCGCCTCCACCCCCCCCCCCCCCCCCCCCGTGTCGTCTGCACGCAGGCCCTGGGCTCGCAGGGCGACGTGTCAGCGCGCGTGGACGAGGACACGGACCGGCGCCTCGTGGCGATGAAGGACGGCTTCGGCGACCGGCGGGACGCCGTCCTGGACAGCCTGCTGGCGCTCGTGTGCGACGTGCGCCCCCAGATCCACGAGAATTACCGCATCGCCAGCGCCTAGCCGCCCAACCGGCGCCACCGCATCGTCACCACCGCCGCCGCCGGCACCGCATCGTCACCACCGCCGCAGCATCGCCGCCATCACCGCCGCCGCCGGCACCACCGCAGCAGCATCGCTGAAACACACCGCCACTACCGCCTCACTGTAGTCACTCTCACTGCACTACCACCATCTCACTGTAACCGCGTTACACTGTAACCACGTTACCCTGTAACCACGTTACCGTGTAACCACGTTACAGTGTAACCACGTTACACTGTAACCACGTTACCGTGTAACCACGTTACAGTGTAACCACGTTACCGTGTAACCACGTTACCGTGTAACCACGTTACCGTGTAACCACGTTACCGTGTAACCACGTTACAGTGTAACCACGTTACCCTGTAACCACGTTACAGTGTAACCACGTTACCCTGTAACCACGTTACAGTGTAACCACGTTACCGTGTAACCACGTTACCATGTAGCCACGTTACAGTGTAACCACGTTACCGTGTAACCACGTTACCCTGTAACCACGTTACCCTGTAACCACGTTACAGTGTAACCACGTTACACTGTAACCACGTTACCGTGTAACCACGTTACACTGTAACCACGTTACCGTGTAACCACGTTACACTGTAACCACGTTACAGTGTAACCACGTTACCGTGTAACCACGTTACCGTGTAACCACGTTACCCTGTAACCACGTTACACTGTAACCACGTTACCGTGTAACCACGTTACACTGTAACCACGTTACCGTGTAACCACGTTACCCTGTAACCACGTTACAGTGTAACCACGTTACAGTGTAACCACGTTACACTAACCACGTTACCGTGTAACCACGTTACAGTGTAACCACGTTACCGTGTAACCACGTTACACTGTAACCACGTTACCGTGTAACCACGTTACACTGTAACCACGTTACCGTGTAACCACGTTACACTGTAACCACGTTACAGTGTAACCACGTTACACTGTAACCACGTTACCGTGTAACCACGTTACACTGTAACCACGTTACCGTGTAACCACGTTACACTGTAACCACGTTACAGTGTAACCACGTTACACTGTAACCACGTTACCGTGTAACCACGTTACCCTGTAACCACGTTACAGTGTAACCACGTTACCGTGTAACCACGTTACCGTGTAACCACGTTACACTGTAACCATGTTACCGTGTAACCGTGGTTACACTGTAACCACGTTGCCGTGTAACCACGTTACAGTGTAACCACGTTACACTGTAACCACGTTACCGTGTAACCACGTTACACTGTAATCACGTTACCGTGTAACCACGTTACACTGTAACCACGTTACCGTGTAACCACGTTACCCTGTAACCACGTTACAGTGTAACCACGTTACCGTGTAACCACGTTACAGTGTAACCACGTTACCGTGTAACCACGTTACCGTGTAACCACGTTACACTGTAACCATGTTACCGTGTAACTGTGGTTACACTGTAACCATGTTACCGTGTAACTGTGGTTACACTGTAACCACGTTGCCGTGTAACCACGTTACAGTGTAACCACGTTACACTGTAACCACGTTACCGTGTAACCACGTTACACTGTAACCACGTTACCGTGTAACCACATTACCGTGTAACCACGTTACCGTGTAGCCACGTTACAGTGTAACCACGTTACCGTGTAACCACGTTACCCTGTAACCACGTTACAGTGTAACCACGTTACACTGTATACACGTTACCGTGTAACCACGTTACACTGTAACCACGTTACCGTGTAACCACGTTACACTGCAACCACGTTACAGTGTAACCACGTTACCGTGTAACCACGTTACCCTGTAACCACGTTACACTGTAACCACGTTACCGTGTAACCACGTTACACTGTAACCACGTTACCGTGTAACCACGTTACCCTGTAACCACGTTACAGTGTAACCACGTTACAGTGTAACCACGTTACACTAACCACGTTACCGTGTAACCACGTTACCGTGTAACCACGTTACAGTGTAACCACGTTACCGTGTAACCACGTTACACTGTAACCACGTTACCGTGTAACCACGTTACACTGTAACAACGTTACCGTGTAACCACGTTACACTGTAACAACGTTACCGTGTAACCACGTTACACTGTAACCACGTTACAGTGTAACCACGTTACAGTGTAACCACGTTACACTGTAACCACGTTACCGTGTAACCACGTTACCCTGTAACCACGTTACAGTGTAACCACGTTACACTGTAACCACGTTACCGTGTAACCACGTTACAGTGTAACCACGTTACCGTGTAACCGCGTTACCGTGTAACCACGTTACACTGTAACCATGTTACCGTGTAACCGTGGTTACACTGTAACCACGTTGCCGTGTAACCACGTTACAGTGTAACCACGTAACCACGTTACACTGTAACCCCATTTATCGTGTAACCACACGCTTTACCACGTCACTGTGTAAGCAAGTGTTTAGGTCCATCATTTCCCTCCCCCGTGTAGCCTGGGGCAAGTGCCGTTCGTAGTGAGTAGCAGAAGCTTTGAAGGCTACCGGCATTGTGGCGCACGAGGGGGTGGGTGGCCAGCACCACGCCCGGCCGCCTTTGTCTCCCCAGTGGCGATGTTTACACACCGCACCAGGTACTCATTTGAGGCTGAGTCGACGTAGGGGAGGCCCAGGACCGGCTCAGATAATCGTCACTGGTGTTGGTCGTGAGCTGGAATCGAACCCGGGCCGCCGGGTTCGTAGCGCAGTGCGCTGACCGCGACACCACCACCACCACACCCCACCACCATCATCATCACCACACCCCACCACTACACACCACCACCACCACCACCACCACACCACCACCCAACCAACACACCACCACCACACCACCACCACACCACACCACCACACCACCACCACACCACCACCACGTTCTTCCACTTCGCGCTTCCTCCTCCTCCTCGAACCTCCTGCGGCCTCCACCGTGGCCCTGGAGCCCCGCAGGAGGCCACTGCCTTAACCACAACGCACCATTGCACTGCCGCCCAGGGGCCTTAACGCACCGCAGGGACCACCGCGGGGACACGCGGGGACACGCGGGGACACCGTGGGGACACGCGGGGACACGCGGGGACACTGGGCATCGTGTTTACACTCCCACCCACACAGGAGCCTTAACGCACGAGGGGGGGTGCCATGGGCAGGCGAGGGGGTACCCGGGCAGGCGAGGGGACACCAGCAGTGCACTATTGACAATCGCGCCTCCCCACTCACGCGTGTGGAGGGGGGACTACCAAACCGCGCGGCCGGAGAAGACTCCCGGGGTGGGGGGGGGGGGGGGGGGTACGTCGTGAGTGGAGGAAGTGGCCTTGAATCGCGTGGCGGTCTGGGAGTGGGGGGCTGGGGGGGCCTCGTGGGTGGGGGGGCGGTGTGGGTAGGGTGGGTGGATCGGTGTGGGTGGGTGGGGGCGGTGTGTGTGGGTGGGGGCGGTGTGGGTGGGCGGGTGGTGGGAACGCGTTCTGAGATGGGAGGAATTTGAGCGAGGTTCGCTCTCTCGTTGTGTTACTCAGTGGTGTCGTGTGTGTGGTTCCTCTGGTTCCAACGTTGCGTAGTTCCTCTGTGTGGTCCTTCTGGTTCCATTGTGTGGTCACTGTGTGGTTCCTTTGTGTGGTTCCGCTGTGTGGTTCCGCTGTGTGGTTCCGCTGGTTCCATTGTGTGGTCACTGTGTGGTTCCTTTGCGTGATTCCTCTGTGTGGTTCCTCTGTGTGGTCCTTCTGGTTCCATTGTGTGGTCACTGTGTGGTTCCTTTGCGTGATTCCTCTGTGTGGTTCCGCTGTGTGGTTCCGCTGGTTCCATTGTGTGGTCACTGTGTGGTTCCTTTGCGTGATTCCTCTGTGTGGTCTTGCTGTGTGGTTCTGCTGGTTCCACTCTATAGTCACTCCGTGTCGTTCCACTGTGTTCCTCTGTAGTTTTGTTCCTCCGCGAGGTTCCCCTGTGTGGTCCCTCGATCCCTCCGTGCGGTTCCTCGCGTGTCGTGCAGCAGTAGATCGAGTGGCTAATTCTCTGTCGAGCTCGCACGCGCGCACACGCACACAGAGTGCTTTTGAGATTAAACTCTTCGATGATTCCTGATCCCACTGACGGCTTCGTTCCATCTCTCGTCCCGGCGTGAGACGCTCTGGTCACCGCTCACCGTCACAGCTTTCTCCTGCAGAGAGCTGAAGTGAAACTCCTCCCAGCCCGTGGTGAAACGAGAAGTGAAACTCCTCCCAGCCCGTGGTGAAACGAGAAGTGAAACCCCTCCCCCCATGGTGAAACGAGAAGTGAAACTCCTCCCCCCATGGTGAAACGAGAAGTGAAACTCCTCCCAGCCCGTGGTGAAACGAGAAGTGAAACCCCTCCCCCCATGGTGAAACGAGAAGTGAAACCCATCCCAGCCCGTGGTGAAACGAGAAGTGAAACCCCTCCCAGCCCGTGGTGAAACGAGAAGTGAAACCCCTCCCCCCATGGTGAAACGAGAAGTGAAACTCCTCCCAGCCCGTGGTGAAACGAGAAGTGAAACTCCTCCCAGCCCGTGGTGAAACAAGAAGTGAAACTCCTCCCAGCCCGTGGTGAAACGAGAAGTGAAACCCCTCCCCCCATGGTGAAACGAGAAGTGAAACCCCTCCCCCCATGGTGAAACGAGAAGTGAAACTCCTCCCCCCATGGTGAAACGAGAAGTGAAACCCCTCCCAGCCCGTGGTGAAACGAGAAGTGAAACCCCTCCCCCCATGGTGAAACGAGAAGTGAAACTCCTCCCCCCATGGTGATACAAGAAGTGAAACCCCTCCCCCCATGGTGAAACTAGAAGTGAAACCCCTCCCCCCATGGTGAAACAAGAAGTGAAACCCCTCCCCCCATGGCGAAACAAGAAGTGAAACCCCTCCCCCCATGGTGAGAACGAGAAGTGAAACCCCTCCCCCATGGTGAAACGAGAAGTGAAACTCCTCCCCCCATGGTGATACAAGAAGTGAAAACCCCTCCCCCCCTGGTGAAACTAGAAGTGAAACCCCTCCCCCCATGGTGAAACGAGAAGTGAAACCCCTCCCCCCATGGTGAAGCGAGAAGTGAAACCCCTCCCCCCATGGTGAAACAAGAAGTGAAACTCCTCCCCCCATGGTGAAACGAGAAGTGAAACTCCTCCCCCCATGGTGAAACGAGAAGTTAAACCCCTCCCCCGTGGTGAAACGAGAAGTGAAACCCCTCCCCCCGTGGTGAAACAAGAAGTGAAACCCCTCCCCCCATGGTGAAACGAGAAGTGAAACTCCTCCCCCCATGGTGAAACGAGAAGTGAAACTCCTCCCCCCATGGTGAAACGAGAAGTGAAACCCCTCCCCCCATGGTGAAACTAGAAGTGAAACCCCTCCCCCCATGGTTAAACTAGAAGTGAAACCCCTCCCCCCATGGTGAAACGAGAAGTGAAACTCCTCCCCCCCATGGTGAAACAAGAAGTGAAACCCCTCCCCCCATGGTGAAACTAGAAGTGAAACCCCTCCCCCCATGGTGAAATTAGAAGTGAAACCCCCCCCCCCCCCCATGGTGAAACGAGAAGTGAAACTCCTCCCCCCATGGTGAAACGAGAAGTGAAACTCCTCCCCCCATGGTGAAACGAGAAGTGAAACCCCTCCCCCCATGGTGAAACAAGAAGTGAAACCCCTCCCCCCATGGTGAAACGAGAAGTGAAACCCCCCCATGGTGAAACTAGAAATGAAACTCCTCCCTCCGTGGTGAAACGAGAAGTGAAACTCCTCCCTCCGTGGTGAAACGAGAAGTGAAACCCCTCCCCCCATGGTGAAACAAGAAGTGAAACCCCTCCCCCCATGGTGAAACAATAAGTGAAACTCCTCCCCCATGGTAAAACGAGAAGTGAAACTCCTCCCCCCATGGTGA